ACTTCTCTTAAGGTTATTATCTAAGTTTTTGTGTGAATCTTGGGTTCTTAAGCTTTAATATCAAATAATTCTTTTAAATTCTCTTATCTACTTTCTCTAATCATGATCCCACAAATATCAAAGCCATTGCTTTGTGTTTTCATGATCATAAGTGAGTAGTCTTTTTGATTTCTTTGGTTTTGGTAGATTAGGATGATTTAGATGTTGGATTATAGAGTTTAGGTCTAAATTGTTTAAGATCCTTGCTTATTTGTTGCTAATTAGGCAAGATCAACCTTTATCATGTTGATTTAGACATTAGTAGTTTCATGCACGGAAGGTGTTCAACGAAATTCCCGAACCAAAAGCTTTAAGTGTTTTTCATACCTTGCCTTTGAAAATTCTTTATTAGAGTGATTAGTCGCTAGATAGACTTGTTATTTATATTGATCATTTGATTGCCTTTGGAAATTGGGTATGATTGATTGATTAGTAAAAGGATTTGTCTAGTATAATGTTATATGGTCTAAGCGTCACTCTTATTAGAAGTTTTTTTAAGCTCCATAAATCCATATCTAAGTCATTCTTAATGGATTGCCTTAAACCCGGGAATTCACCTTTTATTACTGCAGAGTAACTTGCTTAATTCTGCTTTGTTTACTTTTGAAAGTTGTTAGTCTTTTGCATGTTGTTTTCTTTTGTTTTGTTTTGCATTGTTTGGTTTAAATTGCATTGTTAGTCAATTTAAAAAAAACAAAAAACAAATCCTCTTGTTAGCCTAGATGAAGCATTTGTGTGTATTCCTAGTGAGTTGATTAATTTTAAATTGTAGTTCGATAAACAATAGCAAATTACTACATTAGGAGACAAACGAACGATAAATGTCGCGGAGAAGTTTCCCCGTATATGTCATCCACTAATAAAAGTATGCAAATCTGAAAGCGCATGGTAATTTTTCATTGAATGTAACTTGTTGATAAGGTCTTTCACTTTGTTTAGTCCTAAGAAAGAAGAAGAAAAAGAAATAAGAAAACGGAAAGTTGCTTTACTTCTTTTAGATTTTGTTTTACACCAGTTACTTATAAAATGTAGCATGATATTTTTTATTAATATAAAATAGCTCCAAATATAGGAAATCTTCACAATATTATGGTCTCATAGACCTAATCTATATATAATAGCAATCTAATAAATACCATTTGCACATCTGAACGGTTGCGTCTTTTTATCGCAACTTTTCGTTTAAATCGGTTATTTTTTACGGTTATTTTGGTTGCGTCTTTTTATCGTAATTTTCGTTTTAGTCGGTTATTTTTTTACGGCTAAATACCATTTGCACATCTGAACGGTTGCGTCTTTTTATCGTAACTTTTCGTTTAAATCGGTTATTTTTTTACGGTTATTTTGGTTGCGTCTTTTTATCGTAATTTTCGTTTAATCGGTTATTTTTTTACGGCTATGTCGTTTCCAATAAATACCATTTGTACATCTAAACGGTTGTGTCTTTTTATTGCAATCTTTCGTTTAAATATTTATGGTTGTTTTTCAGTTATTTTTGTACGGTTGTTTTATTGAATTTTTTTTTACGTAAACCAATAAACTACATATAAAATTGGTTTATTTCATAGTTTACATATGGATATATTTTTAATTTTTAAACTAAAATTTATATTTTACGGGTATGTTTTTTAGAAAATTGCAATCCGAATATCTTCTGCTGTTGCTTCTTTTTATTGTACCTCTTCATAAACAGTTGCAACATTTTATTTGAATTATTGCAATATTTAGTTTATTTCACGAACAATTGAAACCTTTAGTTTATATCACAAACAATTGTAACCTTTGATTTATATATTTAGTTTATTTCACGAACGATTGCAACATTTGATTTATATATATTTTTTTGTATTTCACGAAAAATTGCAACCTTTGGTTTATTTTACAAATTGCTATAACATCTAATTATCTACCGTCGCGTCTCTCGGTATAATTTTCATAAACTAATATTTTTAATTTTTAATTACCAAAATGCATTTAAATGAGATTGTAATCGTTTAATTGAACCGTTGAAACATTTGGTTTATTTGACCAATCATTTGCAATTTTTGGTTTTGTTTTACAAACCATTGTAATCTTTAGTTTATTTGACGAACTTGACAATCCGCTACAACTTTTGATATATCGCAACATTTCATTTACTTCTTTTTAAACTAAAAAAATTATTTTACGTTATGTTTTTTGAGAAAGTTGCAATCCGAGTAAATATTTTTTACGGTTGCATCTTTTTATCGTAATTTTTCATAAAATAATTGCAGCCGTTTAGTTGAACCATTGCAACATTTAGTTTATTTAACGAAAAATTGCAACTTTAAGTTTATTTTATAAATCGTTATAACATTTAATCATCTACCATCGTTATTATTAATTTTCGTTTGATATTTTTTTTTAACGATTTTTGAAATATTTTCCCCCGCGACATCGCGGGGGTCCGGAGTCCTAGTTACTATAGCAACAAAATAAAATATAGAAATAGAATAAATAATAAACCTTAATTTATTTGCATGTTAATTAACCAATGTTTGGTTTAGCTTCTATCATACAGAAACTTAAAATAATTATTTGTTTATTAAACATCAAATAAACGATTAAGTTGTTGCAATGACACATAATTGAAAACTATCTAAATAGAAATATTAATATAAAACAAACAAAATACGCATAACCATCGTATACGGTACATAAATATATCAATCAAAACACAACCTTCACATAAATAAATTCATAAACAACAAAACACAGTCTTAACAAAACAAAAACAGAAAAATGTTAAAGCGCCAATTTAGCAATGCATCTTAATAAAACCAAAGATTGCTTCTATATCTACGAACCATCAGAATTTATGATCAACACTTTCAACATCATCTTCACTATCCGCATCTTCCTCAATAGCCCATGTTAATCTATCTATAAACACGAACCTGAAAGCAAAACGTTTTAAAACTTGATTTATATTGAGGAAGAGAATATGAAAACACCCTGAACAATCGGGATATGTTGGAGTTGACATGAGGAATTGGTCATGGATATATAAGACGATATTCCGCACTTGGAATATGAGTGGGTGAGTATGATATTGTGACGTTGTACGCTGTAACGACCCGAAAATTCTTAAATAAATTCTGAATTTTAATAAAATAAATATTAAAATTCTAAGAGTCTCAAAGTACACAAAGTCTGAAATTTCGAAAAATCCAAAATCTGAAAAATAAAAGTGGTTTAAAATACTGAAAGAACTACCAAGTCTCGCGCTACAACCGAAACAAAGACTCTAAGTGTCAGCTACACGCTCCTCCTCCTCAATGTCCTCTGCACGGAATCAGAACTTATGTGAGCGAAAAATCGCCCAGTGAGACTACAAACCCGACGAACAAGTACCAACACGGTCTGATCCCGCACAGAAATATGTTCACGTGGTGGTACCAACAGACATAAATTCCAATTTAAATAACTATAAAACAAATCACAACAGAGCATATACTATCAGAAATACTTAATCAAATCATCAGAACAGAATAATTTCATCAGACAGAATAATAACATCAGAGACAAACGACCAAGTATTCAGCAATGCCACATCGGAATGGTACAACCCCAGCATTGGTCGGTCCAAACCATATACTAACAGAATATTTACATAATATACTCGATAGGGATGCTGGCCCCTAACGAGGTGATAAGGAAGCACGGTCCACGACATTAACCGACCTCAGTATCACTAACAGACTAACAGAATACGGAATACATTTGTTGGCGATGCCGGCCGCCACAGATTGCTCAATAGAGCTAGCTAAATCAGAATAGCATGCTGATACCGGTCTTAACAGAATAACATATTTTATCATCAGAATCATATTCAGAATAATAACACTAACACAGATAATTAATTTTCAGAATTCAAATCATACAAATAATTCATATCTTCTTTCTATCATATTCTTAAATATTATACAAATGTATAATAACTAATAAGAGAGTTAGAACTCACCTGGAAAGATTTTTCAGATCGAACGAGTGGTTAACGGCAATTGTAGACACGTCCCAAACCACCAATTAATTCACCTAAATTCAACCGTTTATCAAAGAACAACAAAACACTACTAAAAATCATTCGGATTCATTTTTTTGAATCAATAGGAAGTTAATTATCTACATTAGAATCTACTTTCTTATCATATACTTCGAATTCGTCCGAATGTGCATTTTCCTCAAATACATCAATGATGATCTTATGTTTTTATATAATATGAATCAATGTTTATGACATTTTCAAAATAAAATGTTAATATTGAAACCTATACAACATTTTTTTATGCATCACCATATATTCAACTTGTCTGATTATATGGTCTCTTAGATTCATATTTATAAATAAAAATCAAAGATCGCAAAACACTTTTATGTATTTTAGGGTTTAGGGTAAAGATTTGCGAGGTATGTGCGGGAGATTTGCGACAGACTATATTGTTCCTCGCAAAGTACTCGTAAGTCGCTCGCAATTTTGCGAGGAAACTTTCCCTCGCAAAATTTGCGACGGAAGTGCGACGCGCGTCCTTTTCGTAGCAAATTACTTGATTTAGGGTTTAGTTTTGCGAGGGAATTACTAGTATCCCTCGCAATCCCTCGCAAAATAGAATCAATTTGAAAAAAAAACAACAAAACACTACTAAAAATCATTCGGATTCATTTTTTTGAATCAATAGGAAGTTAATTATCTACATTAGAATCTACTTTCTTATCATATACTTCGAATTCGTCCGAATGTGCATTTTCCTCAAATACATCAATGATGATCTTATGTTTTTATATAATATGAATCAATGTTTATGACATTTTCAAAATAAAATGTTAATATTGAAACCTATACAACATTTTTTTATGCATCACCATATATTCAACTTGTCTGATTATATGGTCTCTTAAATTCATATTTATAAATAAAAAATCAGTCAATAGAGACAGCAAAATAAAAATTCATAGCTTTGGTTCTCTCCCAGGCACATCTCTCGAGAACTTTCTTTAGCCAATGACTTCCGACGCCGGTGGAGGAGTCTCTCGCCGGCGTCGGGATTTTGATCTCCTTTTATCCTTTCTCGGCCTCCTTTGGTTACTCTCGATGCTTCTCTTTATGTTTCAATTTTTAGAACCCTCACGAAACTTTACTCCCTCAACGGTTTTAGAAGGCAAATCAAATTCTTGGAGCAGAGAAAGATGGTGGTGTCTGGTGACTACTCCCCCGTTTTGCCATCTGCTTGTACTATCTCCGCCGAAACCGTCTCCTTGCTGCGATGCACTTATAAAAGCCGACTCTTTCTCCATCGCTCAGCTTCCCTTTCACAGATCTAGATATGCTCAAGCTCCTCCAGAAGCTTCCTCACACTGGGTTTCGTTGATGGCAAGAGACTCTTCTCTTGGACCATCAGATGCGCCATGCCTAGTGGAGTCGTCGACGGCGCACGGCGAAGTTTTCTTCTGGATGGTGTTTCCTTGGCTCTCCGATAAGTTTTCAACGACAAAGTTGGTGATTTCTATCGCTCGCAATTTCGGAAGTTCCAGATCTGCTCCCAAGTCTGTTCAACGTTTAGCCCCGGACTACCGGACTCCGGCGATGGCAAACATCACCGACATGGCGGTGTTAAGTCGGATCTCCTTTTCTGGGCAGCCGCTTGCTTCGACGGAGGGGAGAACAACAAATGACAAAACCCTAATTACCCAGATGGGCCTCACAAATCCAAGCCCACTAAGATTTCTATCTCGGCCCATGTATGACTTAATTGGTCTAGCCCAATTAGCTCCCTGGCCCAGGTCTGTTTCTTCTAATTCTTTGGCAATCCCTAATCTTTTGACGTCTTCTGCTTTTGATGAGATTGGTCAAGGACTCCAATCTCACTTTGTGGTGACATTGATAGTTAGGTTAGCTAAGTATCCTTTAGTAACCCTGGTGGAAGATATTCTTAGTGATGCTAATCCTTTTAATCTGTCTAAGAAATCTATGATAAAATCATCCTCTTTAATAGAGAGAACCTTGTTTTGGAACCATTGTATCTTAACCATCTTCCTAAGAGCTGCGTGTATCAAGCCGGTGATACCCAAGGTTAAGAACCTCTTTTCAACGTCACTATGCCTTTATCGGACCGTGACTAATCATCAATCTCCCGAAGTCTTCGTGGAATTGTTTTCGACTCGCCATTCTCTCGCTTGTGGCAAGCTACTCTCAAGTTCTTGTCTCCGATGTTTGGATCTTCCGTCGAATTATCTTATCTACTTTCTCTACCATTCGCTTGTTGGAATGCTAGTTGCTATCTTTGATGTTCCCAACCATGTGTTGGATGTTTGTTTACACCTTGTACTTGTTATGATCTAATGAAATCAAGTATGTTTTGCCCAAAAAAAAAAAAAAAAAAAATCAAATATCGCAAAACACTTTTATGTATTTTAGGGTTTAGGGTAAAGATTTGCGAGGTATGTGCGGGAGATTTGCGACAGACTATATTGTTCCTCGCAAAGTACTCGTAAGTCGCTCGCAATTTTGCGAGGAAACTTTCCCTCGCAAAATTTGCGACGGAAGTGCGACGCGCGTCCTTTTCGTAGCAAATTACTTGCAATTCCCTCGCAAATTTGCGAGGAAACGTTCCCTCGCAAAATTTGTGATGGAAGTGCGACGCGCGTCCTTTTCGTAGCAAATTACTTGCAATTCCCTCGCAAATTTGCGAGGGATGGTTTCCCTCGCAAAGTTGCCTCGCAAAACGACTGTTTTCTTGTAGTGATTGCAATTTTTGGTTTTGTTTTACAAACCATTGTAATCTTTAGTTTATTTGACGAACTTGACAATCCGCTACAACTTTTGATATATCGCAACATTTCATTTACTTCTTTTTAAACTAAAAAAATTATTTTACGTTATGTTTTTTGAGAAAGTTGCAATCCGAGTAAATATTTTTTACGGTTGCATCTTTTTATCGTAATTTTTCATAAAATAATTGCAGCCGTTTAGTTGAACCATTGCAACATTTAGTTTATTTAACGAAAAATTGCAACTTTAAGTTTATTTTATAAATCGTTATAACATTTAATCATCTACCATCGTTATTATTAATTTTCGTTTGATATTTTTTTTTAACGATTTTTGAAATATTTTCCCCCGCGACATCGCGGGGGTCCGGAGTCCTAGTTACTATAGCAACAAAATAAAATATAGAAATAGAATAAATAATAAACCTTAATTTATTTGCATGTTAATTAACCAATGTTTGGTTTAGCTTCTATCATACAGAAACTTAAAATAATTATTTGTTTATTAAACATCAAATAAACGATTAAGTTGTTGCAATGACACATAATTGAAAACTATCTAAATAGAAATATTAATATAAAACAAACAAAATACGCATAACCATCGTATACGGTACATAAATATATCAATCAAAACACAACCTTCACATAAATAAATTCATAAACAACAAAACACAGTCTTAACAAAACAAAAACAGAAAAATGTTAAAGCGCCAATTTAGCAATGCATCTTAATAAAACCAAAGATTGCTTCTATATCTACGAACCATCAGAATTTATGATCAACACTTTCAACATCATCTTCACTATCCGCATCTTCCTCAATAGCCCATGTTAATCTATCTATAAACACGAACCTGAAAGCAAAACGTTTTAAAACTTGATTTATATTGAGGAAGAGAATATGAAAACACCCTGAACAATCGGGATATGTTGGAGTTGACATGAGGAATTGGTCATGGATATATAAGACGATATTCCGCACTTGGAATATGAGTGGGTGAGTATGATATTGTGACGTTGTACGCTGTAACGACCCGAAAATTCTTAAATAAATTCTGAATTTTAATAAAATAAATATTAAAATTCTAAGAGTCTCAAAGTACACAAAGTCTGAAATTTCGAAAAATCCAAAATCTGAAAAATAAAAGTGGTTTAAAATACTGAAAGAACTACCAAGTCTCGCGCTACAACCGAAACAAAGACTCTAAGTGTCAGCTACACGCTCCTCCTCCTCAATGTCCTCTGCACGGAATCAGAACTTATGTGAGCGAAAAATCGCCCAGTGAGACTACAAACCCGACGAACAAGTACCAACACGGTCTGATCCCGCACAGAAATATGTTCACGTGGTGGTACCAACAGACATAAATTCCAATTTAAATAACTATAAAACAAATCACAACAGAGCATATACTATCAGAAATACTTAATCAAATCATCAGAACAGAATAATTTCATCAGACAGAATAATAACATCAGAGACAAACGACCAAGTATTCAGCAATGCCACATCGGAATGGTACAACCCCAGCATTGGTCGGTCCAAACCATATACTAACAGAATATTTACATAATATACTCGATAGGGATGCTGGCCCCTAACGAGGTGATAAGGAAGCACGGTCCACGACATTAACCGACCTCAGTATCACTAACAGACTAACAGAATACGGAATACATCTGTTGGCGATGCCGGCCGCCACAGATTGCTCAATAGAGCTAGCTAAATCAGAATAGCATGCTGATACCGGTCTTAACAGAATAACATATTTTATCATCAGAATCATATTCAGAATAATAACACTAACACAGATAATTAATTTTCAGAATTCAAAACATACAAATAATTCATATCTTCTTTCTATCATATTCTTAAATATTATACAAATGTATAATAACTAATAAGAGAGTTAGAACTCACCTGGAAAGATTTTTCAGATCGAACGAGTGGTTAACGGCAATTCAAGACACGTCCCAAACCACCAATTAATTCACCTAAATTCAACCGTTTATCAAAAAATCCGAAAAATATACCATCGGAAAGATAATTTCAAGAGCAATCATAATCAGGTATCAGATTCCCCAAAACCGGTTTAAAACCAGCCGAACCGGTGCGAATTATAACCGGATTAAAATCAAAACTCAACCAAATTCAAATCGATTTCGGGCGAGTATTCCAAACTGACAGACCATCTCAAAACCGGTTTCAAAAGCTTAAGAAGCGGTATTTATAAAAGAAATTTTCACGTTTCTGCTGAAAAAAAGATTTTCTCTCAGTGTTTGGCAAAGTGAGATTTGGTTCTCACGTTTTGACAATTAAGCCAAAATCTGACGAAAATACCCCTAATTACTTAAACCAAACAGCACAGTTGGTTTCAGTTTAGTTACTTTTTCTTTGTTTTACGGTTTGGTTTTGAATTAAAAAAAAAAAAAATCTTGCGCAGTCTAACAAGACTTCCAAGACTTCTGCACAAGAAGATTTCTTCCTTGCTCTGTGTTTTTCTGCGTGTTTCTTTCTTTTCCTAACAATCAAATCTACCTTTCTTCTTTCTTCATATTTATTTCCAACTAAAGATAATTTAATCTTATTTGGGAGAGCAATTTTCTTGGTATATATCTACGTTACATGGAAGCGTCATCAGAGCTCCGATTTTCGCTTCAGAATCAGAACCGTAATCGGGTGCGACCGGAATCGTTCGGAAGCGCAGTGGAATCGCGGTTCCGGAGAAGGATAGCTTGGTAGCGCAGAGGAAGCTCACGGTTCCGAATTGGAAACGTCTGAAGAAATGAATTGGAAGCGTATGATAAAATGGCCAAAGCACTTTGCAAATGACTTTAATCTGTGTATACACAATTGAAATATACGAATTTGAGTTTAGATTCGAAAGAACAGAGGAAATGCTTTTGTCAGGAAGAAAAACTATGGCGGCGAATGAAGAAGGAGCAATTAGGGTTCCAAAGAACACGTGACTTATTCATTAAAATTTAAAAATCTTTTTCTTTTTCAATTAATTTTAATATATATTTAAGGAGAAAAAAAAGACTTAATGACTGCGAGACTTTCTAAAATATACCTTAGGAAAGTAATTAAATCCTTAATGAAACCATAAGGTACGAAGAAGAATATGTTTATCATTAAAACTTTGAATTAAGAAAATTTTCTTCCTTATATATTGTTATATCTATTTTTTTGTTTATGTTTTCAAAATAAATTTGAGAATTTTATTGTCTATTAAAAAAAATTTTAGATTAAAAATATAACACAAGCCGTTGTTGTATATTTTTGACAGTAAGTTGTTAATATTGTTTTTATAATATACACAATTCAAAAAATAATTTCAGTTTTCAACAAAGGATGTTAACATATAACAAAGTTTATGATTTATTTTGTTTAATTTAAGCTATATATACAATACTGTTTATATATATAATTATATCATATAAATCGCTTCTAACACGTACCCGCTTCCTTAATTTTTCAAAAAAACCGCTTCCACGCTTCCATACGCTTCCGCTTCCGCGTACCCGCTTCTGATTCCATGCAACTTAGGCAGAAACCTAGAAGAAAACGAAGAAGAAGAACGAGAGAGAGACGGAGAGATTCGAGAGAGAAGTAGAAATCAGTTCGAAATTCATTCATCCATCATCTTCTTTTTTCGACATCACCGTTCGAATTGTTCGCTACTTGATTTGAGGCATCGCATTGAACTCCAAAAACCGGCGAAGAGAAAGTTGCAGTTTTTCCGGAGAAGAGGAACTGAGAAACCTCCGGCGAGATAGCAACCGTCGAGATGTCTGGGAATAAACCAAACGACGAAGTCCTGACGAAGCAGCATACGCTGGAAGGCCCCGAGAAGGAGAAGCGGGAACTCAGAGTTTCCCCGAGGAGGAAACTCCCTCCGACAAAGCCGCCTGAGAAATTGGGTAAGTTCTGATATTATTTCGTTTGTTGTTTCTTCGGGGGTATCAGAATCTTAAAGCTTGTTTGATTAAAGGGATAGAACTAGGCGAAATTTGCTAAATCTGTAGGTTGAAAATATGAGAAGTTGAATTGAAACTGTTATTTCCGCCAAAATTCAGATTTTGGTATATGATGTTGATAATTCCTGTGTACGTACACGAATTTGTATTATTTACATCCTTACTTATGTGTATATCACTTGTACTTGCAAGCAGTAGTAGTGTGGCTCCGACTGCAGATCTTATAGTTGAAGAGTTACAACCAAGACTGTTTTCTCTAGACCGGTACCCTGCCGAGACGAAGATGAACGCATACTCCAAATCGGAGTACCTTTCGAAAACGTTGGGCGCAACGAACTTCTTAAACACTCTCACGAAAAATACACAAATTGTCCACCCAGTGATCAGAGGACAAAGTTCGGAGATGGTATGATACCCGTCTATGACACGGATAGCAAGAACAATCGGAGGACTTTGTGTATGATAGATATAACTGGAGAATGTAAAAGGGTTTTCGATTGTAGTAACGTGGATAAAAGTGAGAAGGATATGTGGCTTAAATAAGGAAATTCTGTAACGGACGCAATGGTTAGTGCGAAAGGGTTCAACGGTTGAGATACAAATGTGTGTAACCGTTTTTGGTGTAAGGTATATGTACACAGACATATCAGAAACGTACATAGTTATACGATGGCAAACATTAAACGTACGTACACCGAAAAAAAATGTGGTACACATGGTCTAGACATAAACGTACACTGTCTACACGGTGACAAAAAACAAGGACATAAAACTAAATAGGATTTTTGCAAGTCTTCTTGTTATGACATGCTTGTCTACATCTTGTACACTGATTTGGAAAGAGTCTTTTCTGTAGTGACAACAACAATAAGTTAACAATCAACGCATCTTATACTCTAAACATTGATATAGGCAAATAAGTGTACATGTTAGAATGTTAAAACTTATCTGGTTTTCACCCCTGGATGGTATCACCATCCTTTTGGTGGTTGGTCTCCCTGGTGGTCGTCTACTGTATGGAGGAATCAATATCATATCCGATATATCTTGTGGGATGACAACATCCTTCCGATCCGCGATAGGTAGAATCGGTTCTTGGAAAGAATCAGAAGTTGTTGCTAGACATGATATTGTAGTGTTCCCCTTTGTAGTGAGATCTTGTCCAATGCTCAAATACAATTTCCTCTAAGTAGTTTGCGCATCCAGGTCTCTTAGCCCTTAACTGTTCAAAGTATTTTTCAAAATCCCACACCCTATAATCTTTAGCAGCACTGAAGAATAATTCAGAAACACCATACTTACCATAATTGGTATCCGTGTACGTAACAAAATCACCTTCGCAGCCAGTATCTTGTACACAGTCTGTAGTGTACGTACATTGGTACAAACCATGTCGACACGTACATGTTGGAGTCACGGTTGGTGTACTGTCACCCAAATGAGAAATGTTATCTCCGCCAGGTACACGCTGTCTTGTGTACGTACACTCTGCCAATAGACGACTGAATTCCCCTGGATGTTGAACAGTCTGTTGAGTAAGAATGATGTCCTCCTCAACATTCCCTATTCCATATTCTTCTACAATTACATCGTTCCACTTGTTGTAATCGTAATCTTCGCCACTACCTTCACTACCGTCTATAGTAGGATCGAGGGTACTTCCCCCCATAGATCCATGGTCACCCTGATAATCATCATACCCATCACCATCTTCGGTGTCCTCCTCCTCTTCATCCTCATCTGTTTTATCGTCTTGTACGTCGTCTTGTTCATCTACGGCCTCATTATTTGCATCCACATTTGAAGCCGCTACGATAGGATTTGGTGTCTTTGCACTCCCACACACACGGTCACTTTCAGCATCGTCACCATCAGTCCCAGGGACATTATTCCTGAGTGCCTTGACGGTTGTAATGAAAGAGACAAACAAGTTGACACTAGGATCCCCACCACGAATAAAAAAGAACGTATCCAGGCTCATTTGATTGTCAATGTAGACAGGAGGGCGTTTACTTTCTATCATCACTGACATCTTTCCCGGCATCCAGTAACTAATTATGGGATTGCATTCTGTAGACTTCAAACTGAAAACCTCGCATAATGTACATACAAATTCCGTGTACGTCATGTTTTCCTTAACACGTACACAACGACCAAACATGCCTTCCTCTGGTTCAAATTTTCATTCTTCTTCTTTGCATCTCCACTCACCCACCGTAGTAAATACGGAAATATCCATTACCCACCTGCATCATAAATTCAGCAGAACCCCATTAAATGCAACTGAATACATGATTATATCTACAAAAAACAAAAAGAATTTCCAATTACACACTTATAAACATATATATATCCTCATTTAGCATTTTCAACAAACAAAATTGGAAATAAAAATTTCTGGGTTTTTATATAAAAAACAATATTGATTTCGAACACAATCAAGATCCTACTGTGTTATAACAAAAAACTTCTTAACCAACTGCATTACTTACACGATCAATGCTTGTCTTGGCTCCAAACTTTATAAATCAATAAGATCAAAACTTCTCCAGCATCACATTCGTTCAGACTAATTTTTTTGTTTGATGATTCATGCTTATCTCTTACAATTATTCAATTCACACGTATAAACTAATATTACAACAAGTGTAATGATGAGTTTTGCATTAAATGTGACAAGAGTCTTGTCTAAACTTTTTAGCCATTAAATACTGATGTCTCTTTCTTTTTTAATGTTATTATTTCCCTTTTTCACTGTACAGCCGCACAAAACCCATTAAAAAACGAAATTATCTTAACCAAACCGGAACAGTGTACCTAACTGAACCGCTTAATTGAACCGTACACGGAACAGTACATCGTTACGCTGGCAGGGGTAAAATGGTCAGATTTTGGCTAAATTGTCAAAACATGAAAACCAATTCTCACTTTGCCAAATCATGAAATTAAAAGATGGTCTTATGCCCTGGCCTGCAATTTACCCTATCTATAATTCCCGATTTGACTATGAACTAACAAAATCGAAATATTTACCAATCAGATTCCGATCAATTCCGACTTCCGTTTGATGAGATGTCAGTGGCGTTGGATTCGTATGAACGAGAGCTTTCTAACAAGGTATAGCACGAGTCCTAATTCTTCCTGAAACAAAATCCACCATTAAAGAGCTTGAAGCTCACTTTTATGGAGAAAAATTGAAGAAGGAAGAAGGTGAAGGTTACCAAACACTTGGATAGAGTCTGAACACGAATCAAGACTAGGATACTAATACGGTGCAGCCCAATCAACCTAAGTCACAACAAACTTCCATCAAAAGTTTCCCAAAATATTCAAATCGGAGATGATGAAGAATGGGCTCAAAAACTCACCAAAAATCACATATTGATAGGAAAAACGGCTTCTAAATTCTTGGGGCTTCAAAACGCATATATATAAGTCATATTAGGGTTGAAGGATGAAGATTCGAGTTGCCAAAAACTATCCCTCAGTTTTAGGAAATGATGAACTCGAATTCTCTCCTTTTTTCCCGTTTTTCAACTTTAGTCCCTGGACTTTTCTCTATTTACAGATTCTGCTTCAAACTTCTGAATCGATCAGAAATCCCCCTGAAACAAACAGTTTCAAATTGATCAGTTTAACCCAAAATCTGATTTCATATTTCTTTTAATTATGGGTGTTACATATGCGGACTATGTGTGGTAGTTTCAGTCGGAGATGCTTATAGATGTATGGATATTACACTACAAGAAAATAGTCGATTTGCGATGGAACAATTCCTACCTAGTTTCTCGCAAATCAACTATTGCAAGGGATTTGTGACACACCGCAGTTCCTCGCAATTCACTGAACGTTGCAATTCTCTCGCAAAATAGATGTAACTTATGAGGAACTTGAGCACTAGCAAATTCGTTGCAAAGAGAGAGTAGGAAATCCCTCGCAGCTTTTGCGAGGAGTTTGCGATGCTTTTTTCCATCGCACTTCATGAACAGTACATGTTTTAGGTGGACCATCCAATTTGGTGGTCCTTGCAAATTGGTAGCAATTTTGCAAGGGATTTGCGAGAAGCTTCGTAATTAGCCGCAATTTCCTAGCAAACGTTGCGATGGATTTGCAACGTATATGCCAGTCAATTAGAGTTTTTTAATTACGGTTTGATAATTATTGTTTTAGTTAATTATTTGTGATGATTTTAATTTGATTAAAAGAAAAAAATCAAATTAGAAATTTAAGTTGAAATGCAAAATTAAAAAGAGAAGTCTTAATTAAAAGTCTTAATACCAAAGGTTAATGTAGAATACAAAACAAAAAAAAAGTATTAGAATTCAAGTCAAAACAGAAACCAATTAAAAGCTTAAAAGGCTTTTGATGGAGAGGATCATGGTCCGGTACAGTACCGGTTCTTATCGCATTGGTTCCAGTCTCACCGGTTCCATCTCAATGCCTTCCGTCTTGATCGCGTTTTCAGCTGTAGTAGCCGTTTGGTTTCCCACTTAAAACTTAGCAGCAAACTCAGGATTTTTCTTGGCGAGGTACTCAAAATAGGCATCATAGCTATGCATCTTCTATGCCTGAGTTGCAATACAAGCTTCAGCGAGGGCAAGCTTTTGAGACATATCCACCGAATCATCACGAGGAGGTAGTGGCCCAGTATGGGCTGAAGATGCTTCATGGTGCAATGATCCAACCCCATAAAGGCTGCTTTTCTTCTTTGGAGCAACCTGCCAACAAGACATTTAACATTTAAGAAAAGCATGCAACACAACTCAATAACAAACACTTAGTTCTCAACAAAAGAAACAAAACATAAACAGAAATACTTTGTATTAAAATCTCCTACAAAAGATAGAAAACACAATAATATAGAACACCACACAAGAAAGAGAAGATGTTTTGCATCAGAGTTAGACAAAACAAACAACATCCACTATATCACATACAATAAATCAAAACCAAATAGTATTTTAACACAAAAATACACAACAACACTTAAGAAAGAGACATATGTTGCATAAAAGATAGACAAAACAAACAAAAGCCACAACAGAATAGACACTCAAAACCGATGCTGACACTACAAAACAGAGAAGGCAGAGAACATATATGCATCAAACATACACAAAAAGACAGGCACAACATAATAGACAATAACATAACAGAAGCCAAAAGTTGAATTTGGAAATGTGAAAATATACCTCAACATTAATTTTGTTCTTGGCATGAACATACAATCCGCCAGAAGCAATGCTTTCAATATTATCCCCTGAGCATAGCTGAGACACTTGCTCGTCTATCCTCGATCCTTCTTTGAAGAGCTCTTCCAATTTGCAATCAACAAAAGACCCATCAGGTTTTCAATGAGTTTCTTCAAAAACTACTAGAAAATCTAGAGTTGAATCACCAGTCTTCTCAGACTAAAACACAGAGGTTAAGTGTTAGTCAATCAATATGCATTAAGTATATGTATGAGAAGGAGCAAATTTAACTTACATGTTTTCTGGCACGGGCTTGGAAAGAGATCTGGCCAGAACGGTGTTTATATATACAGTGGCCATCAGGATCATGATATCGGGCATTTCTACTGTTGATATTCTTAATTTCTGATTTAAGATCACGCATCACGCCAATAACGAACAAGTCCATTTCGGCTTTGCCTCATCACCTTTATTCTTCCACTTTGCCTTCAACCGAGAAATTTGATCACACATCCTATCCTTCAACTTGGTTTCAAACTCATCTTTAACTCTGTCATTTATGGACTGGTCACAGTTGTAGATTTGCTTCAAAATAAAAACACATTCAGAAATGGCATCACATACATTTGCAGAGTAAAACAAAGCTAAACAATTTCACTTACCGCAAAAATCCCAAACCAATGAGTAATCACCGGTTCAGGAGTTTGTGTCCAATTGACATGAAGTTCTTTGAAATCTCTTTCAAAGATACTTCGGACAGTAGCTACAACTGAAACATCAAGGTCAAACCTACCAAAAAAAATCAATTACAATGAGAATCTACAAACCTAAATTACAATGAATACGTATCTACAAACCTAAATAGAACCAAAATTGAAACTAAAATTAAAGCACAAAAAAAATCTTTCTTACGAGAGAGTTCCGAGGACGATTTGGATCTAGTTTCTTAAGAGACAGACGTCCCGGATTCTCAAGTAGCTCCTCCAATGTCAAATTGTTGAGACGCCCAGTTGGTGGTTGAGTCGCTGAATGGGATGGTCGTAGAGGCGAGTTTGGATTGGTTGGTGGAGGAGTCGATCCTCCTGCTCGGTCGTTTTGAGAGTTTGGCGTCTGAGGCGAGGCTGCAGTACGACTTCTATGTACAACCGGTGATGTCCCTTGAGCACTGGAACCATGACGGACATGAGGTCGATTAACACCTTGCGTGGAGAGAAATCTGTTGTAGTCATTCCAAGAAAAAGACATCTACAAGAACAAATGGGCATTAGATAAACATAAGAAAAATCAAATTGATGAAACCCTAAATCAAATCGATGAAATCCTAAATAAAATCAATGAAACCCTAAATCCAATCGATGAAATCCAAAATTGAATTTAATTGATCAAATCGGAGAAGAAACTACAAAATTTTGAGAAAGAAAACACTTAACAAGCTATAGAGGATATTGTCTCCCTGACATACTGAATGGACTAAATCCATTTGTATATAAGCCAAGATACACATTTCTACACTCGTTAGCAAAGTCAGAATATACCGTTTGAAAGTGTTTCCATGCCTTTGCATCTGATGGGTGCATTATTTCTCCATCTCTAGTTGTATGTTGTGCATGCCATCTCATCTTCGCCGCAGTTCTTTCTGATTGGTATAAGTGTTTCAATCTATCAGTTATTGGCAAGTACCACATTTGCTTATATGGCACTCACGTCCTTCCCTCAGTAGGTTGATATCTCGGCTTCCCGCAAAACTGACATTCCTACAGATTTTGATCATCTTCCCAGAAAATTATGCAATAGTCAATGCATATATCAATCATTTCTGATGGTAACCCAAGACTCGAAACCAACTTCTGTATTTCACAGTAACTCTCAGCCGATATATTATCCGCTAGCAAATATTCTTTAAGTAATTCTACCCATGAATCCATGCAATTTTTACGTACGTTATTATCAGCTTTAATTTTCATCATCCTAAATGCCAAAGATAACTTGGATAGCCCTTCTCTACATCCCTCGTAGATTGGTTGATTTGCAGCATCTAACATATCATAAATTCATTGTGCATCTACGTTGGGATCTTCAATAATATTTTCACAAATTCAGCAGTAGTTTCATGAAATGCATCTGTAACCATATCATGAATTTTATTTTCCTGGTTATACGCATAACCAAATTGATCAAATTCTGGATGACCATAATTCGCTTCATTATAATGACAAGGTTGCTCGACACCATAATTTGTATTACTACTTTCTGCACTATCTCTATAACCTTCCCCATGGCGTAACCATACATAGTAGTTTGGCATAAATCTTCTATTCTATAGATGCTTCTTCACTAAATTAAAATCCAAATATTTATCGTTGAGACACTTACGACATGGATAGAACATTGTACCGTTCTCACGAGCAAATGGTTCGTTTGTGACTTGATACATGAAACTGCGCAATCCGTCGTAAAACTCTCTCGCTGCATCACCGGTCGCCGGATCTCTATGGTTGTACATCCATCTTTGCAATGTGTAGATCTTATGCTCTCCACCCCGAAACATTTTCTTTTCTATGAGTTATTTTTTTCTTCTTTTTTTTTATTTCACAACCGTTTGATAGATAGGTAGCATGCGCATCAGTTCAGTCGAATCTCGGTGAATCTATTCCGATTCACGAGATACTTGCCGAGCCGCATCCCTTTTTCTACCAAACTAGACATTTTGTGTAGTTTGTGAATTGTTCTATGAGTTTTTTTTTGAAGTGTTTTTTTTTAAATAGATTGTTTTTTGTTTTGAGTTATAATTTTTGCATCTCTTATGTTTGCTATTTATAGGCAAATAATTTTTTTTGTTAGGGAATTGCTAGCTATATTTGCAGGGGAATTACTAAGAATCAAAGATTTACTAGGATTTTGCTAGGGATTTTCACCTACCAATAAAATAGTTACGTTCATTTAAAATGTGTTCACCTAACTAGAGAGTTACTCGCAAATCCATCGTAAAAATTGCTATGGATTTGGGCGTCGTTAAAAACTTGCAATATGCGACGGACTTGCGAGGGATATATCGGTTATAGCAGTTTCCTCGCAAAGCACTCGCAAATTTGCGATGGAGTCTTCCCTCGAAATTTTGCGAAAAATTAGCGACATGGAGGACGCTCCTCGAAAATGCCTCGCACATCTTTTGCAAAATTACGAGGGATATTTTCTCTCGCAAATCGACTGTTTTCTTGTAGTGTGATTGCTCTAAGAACGGCTTGGTCCTGTACAGCTCTTTAGGGGATGGATAGTTCTACTGGTACCGAAAACTCGTAAGGTTATATAGCCTAGAGTGGAGTGGTATGGATATGATACCGAGAACTCGTAAGATTATATGGCCCAAAGTAAAGTGGTATGAGTATGATACTCAGAACTCGTAAGATCATATGGCCTAGAGTGGAATGGTATGAGTGTGAAACCGAGAGCTCGAAGAACTTTGTGGTCTGAGAGCGAAGTGTTATGGGGTACCCAGAACTCGAACGACATTACGTCTGAGAGTGCAGTGGTATGATTATGAGTTGTACACAATGCGTTCTATGATGTGAGTCTTAAGCATAGTGGTTGAATGTAGATCTTAGAGGTCGTTAGTTTTTGACCTCGTGTTTGGGTTGTGTTGGATGGGTTGGTCAAAAGTTGAGCGGTCGTTGTGACGCTTGTGGGTTGAAATCATAAGAGATGGATTGTATCGTTAGATTCATGGCCGAATCTATGTTAGTGGGGGAGAACTGTAACGTCAGTGTCTTAGAAAAAAATAGAAGATTTGAGTTTATGTCGGGAATTGGAGTGGAGTCGGTTTAATTCTAGTTGATTTACTAAACTGTTTGATTTATTAATTAAACCACAAAGTGGTTAGGTTAATTTTTGATTTAGTTAAATCCTGGTTTAGTTTAATTAAACTAAGAAGCCATAGTGGTTTCTATAAACTCGATACCATCTTTCCCCTCTTTTTTCCCTTGTCTTCACCTGCATAAAAAACAAAAAACAAAAAAGAGCAATAGAGCTGAGGGTCGGTTGTGTGGCGTAAGAAAGAGCCTAAGGTAACAAAAATTTATGGTGTTGTAGCTAAGCCGTAGACCTAGATGTACCACTTTTCGGATTTGGATATGAGTTATGATTCGAATTATTATCCGCTTTTTGGTGAGGTGCTCTGTTTTAGACGCGATTTGGATCAACGTGGATTCAAAGAGAGATCGCGAGTTCATCTACGATCGGATCATCACGAAACTTTGAGGGTAGCTTCAGGATATCTAAGAGTTGAGTTTAAACGGTACAGACTGGAATTGGACGGTTAGATTGCGGTTCATGACTAAAAGAAAAGTACCTTCAAATAAGTCATTGTGAGAAAGGTGAGTGTGTGACCATGAACTTATCTAAGCGATTGAGATTGATAGACTTGTTTTTCATGACTTGTTTTCAATATTAATCCATCAAAAATCTAGTCTACACGTCATGAAAAATAAGTCGATCAATCTCAATCGCCCATGGTCACGCATTAGCTTTCTCACAATGATTTATTTGAATGTACTTTATTTTTTATGAAGCGTATAACCTCTCTTACTCACCCTACATCCAACCACACCAATAAAACAACTTAAATCTAAACTGAAAAAATCTGGAAAATAACAGAAACGATCAGCCACAAATATTGAGTCACGAACTGCAATCTAACTGTCCAATTCCAATCTTTGCTGTTGAAACTCAACCTGTAGATGTCCTGAAGCTACCTTCAAAGTTTCGCGATGATCTGACTATAGATGAACTCCTGATCTCTCTTTGAATCCAAGTTGGTCCAAATCGTATCTTAGAAAGAACAACTCACCAAAAAGCGAATAATAATTAGAATATTAACTCAAATCTAAATCCACAAAGTGGTAAATCTAGGCCTAAGGCTTAGCTACAACTTTCTAAATTTTCTACCTCGCAATGTCCGTTATGTCTCCTTCTCACGCCACACAACTCAGCTCTCTTACGTGACAACCAACTCTCAGCCCTATTTCTTTTTTTTTTTTTTTTTGTGTGCAGGTGAAGACAATGGAGAAAGAGGGGGAAGATGGTGTAGAAACCATTAGGGTTTCTTAGTTTAATTAAACTAAACCAGGATTTAACAAAACCGAAAATTAATTAAACTAATTTTGATTAATAAATCGAACAGTTTAATAAACCAACCGGAATTAAACCAACTCAACTCCAATTTCCGGCATAAACTCAAATCTTTTAATTTTTTTCCGGGATACAGGCGTTACAAGATCTGTCTCTCATACACCATAATCTATTTTAGATTTAACCACAAATATACGGTTGGCTTTTCACATGTACAGTGAGTCCATGATAGATTTGCAATAAAACCATATGTAATCACATTGAGTCTTTAACAATCAATTCCATCACATTTAAACAAATCATCTCTACTCTTCCTTTTAGAAAAAAAAACAACGGAGAAGTAGATGGAGAAGATGAAAAATAATTTGAAAAATACAAAGAGAAACTGATTTTACAATTACCATTGGGAGTATCATCAGCCCTAATACAAGTTTAAAGGGGAATGGTAATAAAAGAGGAAAAGAAGAATTTATATAGGTAATGTGTTATTATTTACTCTTCCGTTTCTATTAAATCTCCAGCTGCAAAGACAAAAAATAAATAATCAATAAGACCTCAAGTCTCTCCAAAACCATTAGAAATTGCATTCAATATTCAATCTTATCATCAACTCATAACAACATGCTTTTGAATCTAATTGTAACATTGTTGATTTATCTATTACCAAATTGTATATTACTATGCAAAAGAAAGATGTAGATTTTGAGCATGAGGATAAAGACGAAGAGGTTATTACCCGAGGTGTCATCTTTAGGATGGTTCTCAATGCACTTAAGTAAGTACTTGAAAGTCTCAACTTCACAAGGTATGGTTAACGCACCGCTGTGATCAAATCCATACTCTTCCTCAGCCTTCTCGAGCAAGACCTTGAACAAAGAATGGCTAAGAAAGTTTGTGGGTATGATAAATCTCCGGAGCTCGGGTCCAACATAAACCGCCAAATATCCTTTAGGGACATCAGGCGGTGACTCAGGGCTATGGCAAGTAGTTTCCTCGTCCGAGTCACAAGTCTTCAAATCCAATAGTCTCTTGTTGATAACCGGTGAAATGATAGCTGTGTGCTTTCTAGCTCCCAACTCGCCATCATCTGACTTTGAACCTATTGTGACAGTTTGCCATTTTTGAAGAATCTCCTTTAGTCTCACAATTTGCTTGATCCCGGTTAACTTTGCCGCGTTGTTTTCATCCATTTTCTCCTTTTAAGGATATAATATATCTTCCCAGGCAAGCTGCATTATAAAATCAAACAAACACTTGAATGAAATCAACGCAAGAAACATGTTAACAACTTTTGCATTATAAGTTTTCTATTTGTTTGCAATAAATTTTATGAACTAGGACACATATTTAGGAAACAACAAGTCAACAAGGACAAAACATATTTGTCTTTAGATTTGATGCAATACAAAACATTTCCCATAATCAATATGTATGATCGATGTCAACATATAGAGAGACAAACTTTTGCGTTAATTTGGTTAGATCTCAATAAACATGTACCCTGGAACACAATAACACAAAGGCCTGTGAAAAATAAGCTAAAAAAAAAAGAATTTTCTAACATCAACCACAACTAAATCTAAAAAACATCAAATCGACATCAAATCATCCTAAGTTTCTTGTCTATTTTGCTCTAATTTTCCAGCTATCTTAACATATCTCTCACACCAATACTCATCAAATTGTTAACAAGACGAATGCAAAATCAATTAATGAGAATCCTTAACACTAATTACGTACCAGAAGAGGAAACAGAAACGAAGCGCTCTTAGACACGAAGAGGAAACGCCATGCAAAAAAATGTTAGCAGCTCCGGAAGATTTGTGTTTTTGTTTTTTTAAAGATTTTTGGTTGGATGATGACGAGAGAGATTTCAAGTAACAGAAACTAAGAAAACAAAATCAAAATTAAATTTCTAATTTTAAAAGAAATTTCTTATTTAGGATTTTGTAATTTTGTTGTTTTTCTTTGCATAACCAAACCTTTTCTTGGCCTTCCCGTCACTGTCGCATGTAACTGTTTCTAATTCTAGATTAAAGAAATTTTTTGAATGATCCGGTTACTCTTAATATATTGTTCCTTATAACTTTTTGTTAACAAAATTTCTATTAATCGGACGAAAATAACCCACCGAATTAGGGATAATTAAATTGCAATCAGATTTTTCTCGGAATCTCATCGATATGGGATTCATACAATTTAGGGATGCAAATCCAATATGCATAACTATTATAATAAAAAAAATTAAGCAAAGCTATAGATGTGGATTTCGTACAACTTAAAAATATGCTTCAAAGATAACGTACGATGAAAACGATTGTTTTCTTCAACCGAACTATTAATATTAAGTAAAAATACATTTGAATCCATGGGTACAATGTTACTCTTTGAGACGGTTTTCTTGGCCGGCTTTTGATTTTACAATTTCACAACAATTTTCCTTCTTTTTTTTTTTTTTGGTAAAAACAACAATTGTCCTTCATTTACGATATATCATTAGTTTATCCCATCCAATCACAACTGTCATTCTCAGTTTCTTAAAATTTCAAGAACTATGGAATCTCTTATTCTCTTTTGTAAGCACTATTGTCTGTTGTGCCATAATTTTTATATCTTGGGACTTTTCTATTTTCGCATGGCCAACCAAATTTAGTGATAGTTTGATTGTCTAAATATATTTTGCTTTTTTTTTTTCTCGTGTAATTTAGATATAGGTTCTTTGTTGTACCGTTCTTGATCTTGCAACAAACATTATTTTGCAATGCAATGTTTCGGTGCCGACGGTGCGGTCCTTGCTCGTAATCGTAGCGAGTGTCAAATGAATATGATTAACCATCCAAAATTTTTAAGGAAGTGTAAAAACTTTTTTTTTTTTTTTTTTTTTTTTTTTTTTTTTTTTTTTTGAAGTGTAAAAACTTTAATCGATACATCTAAAATATGACACTGAAATTTTCTATACAAATTAAAATATTCAAAACTATGGATTTCGAGTTCATAAAACGACCATGCATATTATTTTTGTGGAAAGGAATTTTTTGCCGTAGTTCACATATATGTTACATTTTTTAATAGAAAAATCATATTTTTAGAAAACAGAGAATTGTCTGCTAATTGCAAATGCAACGAAGAGAACAAAAGAACAAAATATAGACTTAAATTATATATCCCAATAATCATTGGGGAGTGAGTATGCAGGACGGCTGCTAAATTAATAATGTCCTGACTAATTTCAACAACCATTGCGACTAATATCTTAGATGATATATTTTCTTTACGATATGTGATAACATGAACTTCATTATATAACTCAAAATAAAATAATTCCTACCTAAGAACATCAATGATGTGTTCACCTCCTTTTGTGTCACGTATAAGCCATTAACTATTTGTTTCTTTATAATGACCAATCAAATGAATTAGGTAGGAATTAGATAATTATTTTCAAATCTTAATTAATATCTTTTTTTCTCATCTCCTTTTTAACTTCTTCTGTAATTTGTCATATACTTTTTCCCTGCACATACAAACGTTTTCTACTAATTGTCCAAGCAAACCAGCCAAAATAATCATATACATTATCATTTTTACCTAAAAACGAAAGAGCCTTCATCACCAAAATCACTAGGCAAAATAAACCACGGTAAATATGTTTTTATTTTATGCAAAAAAAATTTTTGTTGCCATTTGGCGAAATTCGAAAGAAAGAAATAATAAATCTACATAATAGAGGAATCCAAATAAATACTTTCTAGTAACAATAGTTTTTGATATTTTATACTTTAAGAATACGTTTTAAAGTTTTATTCATTTAGAGTTGTGTCTTTTCATCATATTTTATTCGTATTTTTTTTTATCACATTTTCGTTCCAACAATTGTATCTTTTACAAACAGTGTTCTCTATTTAAATGTATTTTTATCTCTATATATATATTTTCCCTATTTTTCAAAATCTAAAAATGTAGTTATTTGACATTGATTTTTTGCTATATGATGAATCCAAATAATTTGAATTTCGATAACCAAGATTATTATATACTATCTAAACTATTTTCTAACATATATCATTTCAAATATAAAGAAATCATATAAGTTTTCACTGCCTAGCTTTTGTAAATATATTTATATTTATATATTTCTAAATAACTATCAGTTTTGGTTATTTGTTAAATTTTTTCTGATGGTTGCCTCTCTTGAACTTGACTCAATCTCAAGAAAAGTTACGTCTCTTTATAATATATATACATATATATATATATATATATATATATATTATAATTGCTAAAAATTTGAAAAGTTGCGTCTACTCATTATAATTCTTCGTGCGATATATTTTCACTTCGAATCACATCCTTTTATCATAATATTTTTTTAATAATAGTATAAATCCCAATAATTTTTTATGGGGTTTGAGTCTCTTTTATCATCTCTCCATAAAATATATCTTATATTTGTTATTATTAAAAAAATATTTTTTCAAGATTATCTCAATTCATCATAACTTTTTGTTTTGATAACATGTTTTTTTACTCATAGTTGTGTATGTTTAACATTTTATATTTCTTAACTCTATTTTCTCCTACCGTAGATAATTTTAATTTTATTGTTATCGTAAATTTCAAAATATTTTAATAACATACATCATTTGAAATATTTTCTGAAATTTTTAATTATCTAAAAAGTCTTAGAGTATTATGTCCGGATCTACTAAGTCCTAATAAAAATAAAAATAATGACTTTTAACCAAAAAAAATTGAAAATTAATTACTTCCATAAATTGAAATAACCAATTTATTCAAAATAATTAAAATATTGCGAAGTTTTTAGATATATTTGTCCAGTTTTAACTAAATTTCATTTAAATTTAACCAGTTTTAACGAAATTTCAATATTTCGGGTATCCGGAACCGAACCGAAAATATCCAGAACCGAACCGAATCAAAACCAAAATTTTAAAATATCTGAATGGATCCTAAATTCTCTATCCAAAATATCTGAAACCGAACCGAATACTCAAACACCCACACCTACTTTCTATTCCTTAAAAAATAGAGATTCTAGTCCTTTCTTGCGAGGTTTATATTGGTAATGAAAATGCTAAATTTATTTAATATAGTAAGGATAAAAACAAAAGCATTGCATGCAGTGAGATTCAGACACACCAATAAACTTAAACAACGTGTCTAATTTCATAGACACTTGCAAAAACCAGCCGGCAAAACTCGAGGGAATATACGACAGTGTCAGGAGTTCAGTTTCTGACCAAACACGTGTCAGAAAACTAAAAAAACAATAAATAATCAGATTTTGGGGCTTGGCATCTTTCTTCACTACAAGCATCTTCGGTCTTGATCCTTAGCATCTATGAAAGATCCACCGTTCAACTTGCAAGATCCAATGGCTCACCATCAATCTCTCTTCAGATCCATCCAACGGCTCGGATTCAATCTCTCCCCATACTAATCCGCTATATAACCACTGACTCAATCTTCTTCGTTAGGATATAACAAAAACATTTTCAGAAATGGCGACTTTGGATTCTCCGTTAGAAGTTTTGGCTTTCGACTACGTTAACTTCGTCTTTAACAATCTTTGGACATGGATAGCCGTCGTGACGGCCGCCGTTAGTTTGTGGCGTATCCGAGCTACCACCAGCAGCGGCGGCGGCGGTAGAGACGACGGTTTCATAGAAGAATCTCCTCGTGAGCCACCAAAACCACAAGCCACGAAGGCTGCTATTGTTGTGGAGACGAAACCTCCTAGAGTTAAGGTAACGGAGACGGAAGATTGGAGTTTGTTGTTGTGTAATGACGGAGTAACGAAGGGGAAGCTAACGGTGTACTACGAAGAAGAGATTGACGCAGAGAGAGATGAAGATGACGGAGAGACAACCGCCGTTAAGTATGGAGGAGGTGAGAGTGGAGAGTGGTGGGAGAGATGGGAGAGAGTGGTGAAGATGAGAAATGGAGATGAAGGTTGGTACCGTTACGTGGATTTAACGGTGATTAACGGAAATATTGTGAGGTTGTGGGATGCTAACGGAGCCCGTAACGGTGGTTGGGTTAGTGTGCAGCGTAAGGAGTGTTATGGTTGAGACATGTTGGGGAAAATTATAATTTTCTAATTTGAGCATGATTATTCATTGAACCTTTTTGGTTTAAAGACTATTTTTTGTTGAATTAAAGATGTAATTTGTATATATATTTTAGAGATATAACTACGATTGTTGAATAAAGAAGAACAAATTCACTTTCATGGTTTTTTTTTTTTTGGATTATATAGTTCTCAATTGAAGAATATCGAATTGGCATGCCATGCACTTTCATGTAATGAATTTACATATGTCAATCAACATTTTTTTTTTCTGGATTTTCATAGTTATTTTTACTAACATAATGGATAGAAGCCCTCCAAGACAACTCATTTACATTATCTATGTATATTATTTTTTACTCCAAACGCTAAATAATGTTTTATAATTCAAATAATTTATAAATAAATTTAGACTCAAATTTAGTTGATAAAAAAAGATTCAATTTTAAAAATTGAACCTATATATACATTTTCGAAGTACAAATATGAAATAAATCCTCGAGTCGACACTTATTTACAAGAGAATATCATTGTCATAAATATTTATTTATTAATTAATATTACAAATTATTTTCAAAAAAATCTTTTAGAAACCGTGGCTTCCAAATATGGTAACAAATTGATTTTATTTCTAAATTCGATTAATTGCTAATTTCCTAAAATATCTCTACCTAATTTAAATATTAATATATGATTCCTCTTTCACTTTTATATGAGCTTATATTTAATTTATTTTGAATTTATATAAAATACATATAATTAATAAAATAATAGATTTTTTTCTGCATATAATGTGATTCAAATTTTAAAAGACGGACATATATTACTCAATCGATGAAGAAAAACTATGTGTACAATATCTCACATTGCTTAAAAAACTGAGAAATGCTTGAGCATATATATATTTTAATTTTTAGAGAGTTCAAATATTATAAACTTTTTATAGAACTTAAATACCATAAAGAGAAATTGCCTCTTATAGCCCCAAATCAAGTTTTTTGGATAAGAATAGCACTCAAAAGTTTATTGGACTAAAATAGCACCTTATTTTTGATTTTTTAAATTAATAAATAATTATAAATAAATACAAAAAATCACAAATTCATCATTAATATTTTCTCGCCAAAACAAAATCCCGTCAAAATTTTCCCTCCCAAAAAGATTTCCGTCAAAATTTCCCGCCAAAATATTTTCAGCTCCCGGAAAAAAAATATACCGTCAAATTTTTCCCACCAAAAAAATTTTAGTCCAACTTTTCCCACAAAAAAAAAATCCAAGAAATTCCACGAAAGGATTTTAGGAATCGTGAAATTTAGGAAGGATTCCACGAAATTTGACGAATTTTAGAAAGGATTCCACGAAATTTAGGAAGGATTTCACATAATTTAGGAAGGAGTTCACGAATCGTGAAACTCTTCCTGAATTACGTGGATTCTTTCCTAAATTCATGAATTCATGAAATCCTTCCTGAATTACGTGGAATCCTTCCTGAATTTCATGCAATCATTTTAGGAATCCTTTCCTGAAATTCAAAGAATTCTTCCTGAATTTCGTGAAATCTTTCCCGAATTTCTAGGATTTTTTTGGCAGAAAATTTTTTCTTAGATTTGTTTTTGCGGGAAAATGTTGAAAAAAAAATTTTGGCGGGAAAATTTTGAGAAAAGTTTTTTGACAGGCAAATATTTTTACGTTGCGGAATTTTTTTGGCGGGAAAAATAAATTTCGGCGGGAATTTTCCAATTTTATTTATTTATTTATTTTAATTAAACTAATTATTTATATTTAATATTTAATTAAAGTTTATAGTGCTATTTGTGGAACTTTTCAAATGTAGTGCTATTTTTGGAAGAAAAACTTATTTTAATGCTATTTTTGTCAATCTCCCATTATAAATACTCTATTATGGGAACCATTTAAAATAAATTTTTAAATTGACTCGAATTATATATCTTTAAATAAAAATAATATTAAAATAAAAATAATGAAATATTATTTAATTTTATGGGACGGGGTTATATGGTGGGACGGGTTTTGGACGATATTAATACTGGACGGTATACCACGGATGAATCCTAGAATTAAAAATAAAAAATATAATTCTATAATTTTAAACACTAAACAAATCAAACAATATTAACAAAAAAATATAACTTAAATTTAAAATGTTTAGTTTAAAAAAATCGACCAGCAATGTATCACGGGGTAAATTTTTAAGATACAAAATAATATCAAATTATTATAATAGTCTATGATTATAAATGGTTACCAATATTATCACTATATATTTTCGATACCTACACATCTTCTAAGTACACCAATACAAATTAACACATTTAAGTAACAAATACAACAACTCAAAAACAATATTTATATATTTCAACTATATTTTTTATAATATAAAATAATTAAATGAGAAATAAGTTTCTTATAGTATGAAATAAAAAATCCATAAATTATAAATTATTATATAAAATATAATTTTGCATCGCGGTATACCGCGGGTTAAATCCTAGTATTGGAAACAATTCAAAACATTGTACATATTGGAGACCTAGTTTCAATTTTGTTTTAATTATTTTTTTTATATTTTTCATTATTCATATATTTGTTATGCATTATCTCTCACATTTTTTTTTACTTGTTGGCCTACATGTTTAACATTTAAAAAATTAGACCATATTTTGTAATTATTTGAATATTTTGGACCCTATAATCCAGGAAAAAAAAATATAGGACTTTGTGCTCTTGCATACTCAGCACACTCCAAAAGCCGGGTCTGTAAATGGCCATAGAATATCCCAAGAAATGATAGCACAGAGAAGAACAAAACAATACTTTACCAAATGGGGACATATGATCATACCACATCCGATAAAAGTAGGACTGAAATCAAAGTAAAACCTGCGCAGTAGAAAATTACCAATTAGATCCACAAGCTAAGTCATTCTTATTTGCAATAGATTATTGTTAAACTGTACTTAATTGGTTAATAGATAAATTATGAACTTACATGTTCATGAATAGCGTTAAACCAAAAGTGGAAAAGTGATCAAACCCACATGCAACTCCAATACTACTGGAGAACGTCACTTGAAGCAACTCTAAACTAAGCTACAAAAATCTACTTCCTTTTCAAAAATTGAGAATTTCCGGAAGATTACACCGGCATATTAGATAATTATTTTGGGAAATGGGCATTCTGATTTTTTTTTCTAGTAATTCGTCTCATGGAAGAACACCATTGGCGAAGTAAGTTGTAGTTGGCGAATTGTAATTATAAACTTTATGATGGATTAAGACGTTTAATTGGTTAAATTATCAAATAATAAAATGACATCTTTCATTCAATTAAACCAAACCAATTTTAAACTAAACGGTTTAAGTTTTGATGGACTCGGTATACTGTGAACCAAAAGAATCAGTTTAGAAATTGGTTTGGTAAATGGTTTAATTGAAGAAACACTCTTCAACGGTCAAATCAAAACAATCGATATATAACTCGCGTAAGCCTTGGACACCAAGAGTCTTTTTAATTCACAAAAACTTCAGTTTGGATTTCGAAATTTGACCGTTGGGCTCTCAAAAGCTCTACCAAATTCTAACATCTCCATCTCCGACGAAGAAATTGAGAAGCAGTCGAAAAGTTAGATCGTGGAGCCACCGTTGTCGCCGATCTCAGCGAAGGGGAAAGAAACGAAGTCGTTGGAGAAAGATCTAGTGGAGTAGGAGGCGATGTTGGAGAAAACAGACGATCTTCTGAAGGAGAAAGGATGATATCCTGAGGAAGAAGAAGATGAAGAATGAGGAAGTCTCGACCGTGTTTGCCGGAGATGCTAGATTGGTGGAGGAGCCGAATTTCAAAGAATTCAACGGTAACAATACTCGTGATTCTTCTCTAGATATTCGAAGGCTAAGTCCCCTTGGTAAAGGTATTTGAGATTTGATTAGTTTTTTTAGGAGATATAATTGGAAATTGCATAACCGAGAATTGAGTTTTAGGTCAATTTGCGGCGAGTGTAATTGCCGATTTTCAAAGAGGATAACATCAATTGAAGATGCGATTGATTTAAAAATCGAGGATTTGAAGTAAAACCCTGAATATGGAAGCTTTTGTTTCTCTGATTCTGGAAAGTTTCCAGTATCCATCCTCTTGATTAAATTCGTATCCTTGCTTGTTTATGGACGCTAATTATATATCTGTTTTTGTTTCTTATTAGGGGCTTCTAAGAAGATTCTTGGATATAGTTATGGTGATGCTTCTTAAATCCGAAAGAGAAGCAGACGGTCTCTTTGGCAAGTTGTGCTGTAGTGTCTACCTAATCAGGTTTCCTTTCTGGATTGTTGTCTTAGTAGGAACAAGCTGGCCACAATTCTTGAAGAGGAAGAAGCGAGATGGAGAATGAACACCAGTGAGACACTATTTTCATTGGTCAATGGAGAAACATTATAAGGGAGAACAACTGTTGCAGCATAATCTTGAAGCTCTTTCGTCTATATACCTTTAGTTGGTATGATTTTGATGATAACATGTAAATTCTAGCTTTACAGAATCTCATATTTCTCATGATTTGTGTGATGCAGGATAAGCTGAAAGGATACTCAAGACAATCATAAGGATGTTATATGTAGAGACACTATCAACATAAGGATGTTATATTCACTTTTTGGTTTTACATTAAGTGTGGATACTCTTTCACTGCCAACTATTAATACGTCTTTGTCCAGGTTATGATGGAACATCAATACCCAAGCTGAGGGTTCGCAGTACATGACAAATTCATGGCGTCTGAAACTCATGACCCTTTTCTCATTCGCCAGGTAAGTCTAGCTTTTCTGTAGAGTTTTCCTCCGTTTGGTTATTCAATACTTGGTTTAATAGCTTCTTACTAATGAATATTTATTTGGTTGCAACATGAGCTGAAATTCATTTGACAACATGAAGCAGTGCTTTGACATGGGTCACTTGGTTAACGCATTCAAATAAGTTCCTTGTACCCTTTTTATTGAATTAGTTTGTGTTCCTTTCACCTTTATCACGTCTCTGATGTTCATTATTGTTTATTTTAACAGGTTTTTTGTACCTGATTGATCAATACTTCTTTATGATGCGTGTCTTGGAGTTGCCCGAATTAATATCCTTTTGTAATGTACTTCTTAATTGACTTTTACTTTCTCATTTTCTCACAACCACTTTTATCCCGGTGTGTAAGTGGTTTGGCTACTTCTTTCTTAAGGATTATGTCATTGATTTTGTTAGCAGGCTCTGTTTCTTTTTTGTCTAGCTAATACCAGTGCAGGTAAGAAAAATACGTTGAAGGGAAGACCAGTGCAAGTACCTTGTTTTGTTATTGTAAGTAATAGCCACTAGCACTGAAGATTGTTTAATAACTTGATCTTCTTGCAGGCTCCTCCTATATTTGAGGGTAAAGAACCTCCACAATTTGTTGCAACTTTTCAACATTTGGTTGTCCTTAAGGTATTTCTTTTGATTGTTGCGGCAAGAAAATCTATTCGTAATTGATATAGTTACTTTAACTTTTAGGGTGGTTTGAGTTCTGGTTACAAAAATAGAATGACAGAGAAAGGTTCATCAGACGGAGTCAGTTGCACTTATTCAAGTATCAGAAAAATTTCAGGTGAGAATTTAGAAAAATTATCCAATGTTTTCTTATCAGTTATCAAGATTTGTGCTTATTTTAACATGACTTTTGACCTCTTGCTTTAGGTTGCTTTGGAGGATTGTTTTGTATTAGTTGTTTCATGAACTCTGTTTAGTTGTTTATGTTCTTTGACTAAACGTTTTCTTAGAGTCTAAACCACATGAGAAGGGGGGGTCTATTTTTAAGTATGGTGCTAGTTAATGTGATTGTGTTAGAGAGGGTTTGGGAACTCTGTTTTTAGTAATTAAATTATGTAGTTTCGGCACACTTATACAGAATGAAGTTAGAGATTATATCTCATTTGTTAAAATGACCAGTAGACTAATTAAAACTGAGGAAGCTCTGCATTTATAGGAGGATAGATTTACAGCTACTAGTATCCCATGTTCTTGATATGTTGCCTTAGACGCTCTTTGCTTTAACAAAGCCGAGACAGTTCGAATGGAAGCCAAGGGGGTCCAAGACAAGGGGCTGATCTACACCATCAAAGTCACCTCCACGAAAACAAGAAGTAACAAGTTAGGCATCACAAAGAGGGTAAGTTCTTTACCAGTATTGATCTATTGCTGATGAGTGAAAAGGTATACTCATGTAAGTACAAACCATACAAGACACATGATATTTGGAAAAACAAAAGTAAAAATGCAGAATTGCAATTTTCTATTTTTTACACTGATGTGTGTGAGACTTTTTTGTGTGTCAAACATCTCACACTTTGCTATGTAAGTTTTCCGTTTATATCCAGCGATCACCTTGTTTGAGTTTTGGTATTATATGGGGCAACTCTTTCACTCTCTTGAGAAACTTTCTTGATTCATGGGTGTTTTCTTTCTACTATTTTATTCCTTTTTGCATTGGTTACCTTTATTGACTTGTTGAAATATATTACTTCTTATGCAGATACATGGGATATTTTTATGGTCCTCAGGTTTTGCCTCTTTTATTTTTCATACCAAATTACTTACTTGGTTTAGGTTGTAGAGTTTCTCAAAGTGAGAAACGCTTGTATACTAGGCTTTGGCTCATAAATTGCAACATGTGGCTTTCTTCTGTTGATGTAGTGGTTTGTAGTGTTTGGTGGCTGCTTGAGCGTTGATTGGACATTGAACGTTATCTTGTCTCGGTTTATGGTTTCAAGGGTTTTACTCGTTTCCTAATTTTGTATTCCCACTTTACTTTGATTTTTGGATTTCATTGGATGATCTGGTTTTAAACTGTACTTTTCTTAAAACATTATGACAGGATTTGGCAACCCGTGGCATCAATCTCATCTTGAGTGAGGTATATTTTAGGTGTGTACAATCAATTTACCCTTCTGCTGCGGGATCAGTCTAGCAGTGGGATGTGTTTCATTCTCTCTTGATTTAAAGTGAAAACTTTATTCTCGCTGAGGAGGATAAGTCATCTGAGCCTAGTCTTAAATATTGGTACACGTCTCTTCCCTTCTTGTGGCATATGTGGCCTTCTTGGTGTAACAAAATGTCTACCTGAACATAGAATACTCGTATTGAAACTAAGACATACGTCTGGATAGTGATAAGTTGCTCGTTTCCATTCATTATATAATATGATGCCTCACTGGTATGCTCATCTATCTCCTATGGATGTTGACATATGATCTTGGCAGCTTTGTGTTTTTTTTCCCCTTCATATTGATTTAAACCACATTTACAGGTTCAAGTGCTTATATATACCTGGCTGGAGAATGGAGATGGGGTGGTGATTACTCCCAATGAACATGTACTCTTTGAAGATATCGTATGTCTAATATTCTACATGATTAAACCAGAGGCAAGAGTTCTTTCGAATCATAACATGGTCTTTTCATATTCCGGGCTGTTTTTTTTTTTTTTTTGCTTTCTTATTTGAAACATCAATTGTTGAATGACTCTTTCAGAAGGAGAACTGCATCACACTCCAGGATCTGAAAGCATCTAAAATTTCTGGAAATGTTTTCAAAGTATACGCTTCAACCTGAACAAATTCATGGCGTTTGAAACTCATGACCCTTTTCTCATTCGCCAAGTAAGTCTAGATTTTCTATAGAGTTTCCCTCACTTTGGTTATTCAATACTTGGTTTAATAGCTTTTGAAACTTATTACGTACTACTGAATATTTATTTGGTTGCAACATGAGCTGAAATTTATTTGACAACAAGAAGGAGTACTTTGACATGAGTCAGTTGGTTCACGCATTCAAATAAGTTCCTTGAATCCTTTTTACTGAACTGGTTTGTGTTCCTTTCACCTTTATCACGTCTCTAAAATTGTTCATTATTGTTTTTTTTTTAACAGGTTTTCTTTATACCTGATTGATCAATACTTTTTTATACCCGAATCATTATTCTTTTGTAATGTTTTCTTTCCTGAGTATACCTGATTGATCAATAATTCTTTATTGGCTTTTATTTCTCGTTTCTCACAACCAATTTTACTCGCGTATGTTAATGTTTGTCTCCTTCTTTCTTAAGGATTATGTCATTGATTTTGTTAGCAGGCTCTGAATTTTATTGTTATGGCTTTATGTATATATATTTAAACATGTTGAATTTAGCCACCTGACTTTCTTTTTTTCTCCCAACTTTAGGAGGATCAAGAAACAGCAGTTCGTCTAGCGAGCACAATGAAAAATTCGTTGAAGGGAAAACCAGTGCAGGTACCTTGTTTTGTTATTGTAAGTAATAGCCACTAGCACTGAAAGATTGTTGAATAACTTGATCTTCTTGCAGGCCCGTATATGTGAGGGTAAAGAACCTCCACAATTTGTTGCAGTTTTTTAACATATGGTGGTCCTTAAGGTATTTCTTTTGATTGTTATTGATTGTTGCTGCAAGAAAATCTATTCGTAATTGATATAGTTACAATAACTTTTAGGGTGGTTTGAGTTCTGGTTACAAAAATAGAATGACAGAGAAAGGTTCATCAAAAAAACCTACACGATGGAATCAATTGAAATGGAGGTCACAATAATAAGGCACTACAAGTTGAAGCGGTACTTTTCTACCTTCTTTTCTCTCGTTTAAAATTCTAACATTACACGATCACGAATAGGTAGCCAAGTTTTTGAACAGTCTAAAGTAGAAAAACCTTATTAAACAAAAAGTCACTCATACGCATTTTAGTTCTTTCTTGCTAAGTTAGCCTGGGAATACTGTCAGTCAAGAACGCAAAAGAGGGAACAGAGAGCTCATCCTTTTGGGTTTGGATATCACAAAAAGTCAGAGAGTGGGAGTTTTGGCTTGTGTCTTGTTGTGGGTTTCAGATCACTCACTTCACTTGGTCTCTTGGATCAGGATCGAAGAAATACCGGTATTGTAAGGTAAGAAGTCTCAGATTGCTTGATTTTTAAGCTTCAAAGTTAATATTATCAAACTTTCTTTGTTGTCTTTAAAAAAAGATAGTGTGTTGTTCTGTCTGAGCTCTGAACAGGCTTTTCGGTTTGCCAAGTGAACTGATGAGTAAAGGAAAGCATTTCATATTGATACGAAATCCTCTTAAAATACTGGTCAGACTTTCTCATCAAACACTGGCTCTCAACTTTAGCCAATGTTTCAACTAATGCTCTTCTCTGTTTCTCGAATTAGGCTTGGGGGAATTAGTGTCGACATACAGTGATCTCTGTCAGATGGGAATGCCACCAGCAGTCATCAATGCGGATGAGCTTCAGCGAGATCTCGAGGTTTTGTTTCTGTAGTATGTAAATTTTAACTAAGATGTCTTTTTCTATTACATGTTATGCCATCCATATATACATGCAGACTACACCTCATGAGATCCCGAGGTCTTTGTGCTGATTTGAAACTTGTGACCCTTTTCTCATTAGCCAGGTAAGTCGAGCTTTTCTATAGAGTTTCCAATCCTTGGTTTAATAGCTGCTGAAACTTATTACTACTGAATATTTATTTGGTTGCAACATGAGTTGAAATTCTTTTGAAAACAGGAAGGAGTACTTTCACATAAGTCACTTGGTTAACACATTCAAATAAGTTCCTTGAACCTTTTTTACTCAATTAGTTTGTGTTCCTTTCACCTTTATCACTTCTCTGATGTTCATTATTGTTTCTTTTAATAGGTTTTCTATTAAATGATCCAGGAACCCTCACAACCCCTTCTGACTTTAACAGGTTTAAGTCTTTCAACATAACAATCTCCTCTTCGTTGGTTACAGCTTGTGAAAATCGATGGGCGTGTGATTGGTGACGGAAAAGTTGGACCGATAACGAGAACTCTGCAAAACGCCTACAAGAAATTGACAGAGGATTCAGGTGTGCCAATACCTACTTACCAAGAATCCTGAAATACAAAACCAGAGGTAATCAAAGTTGCTAAAATATGCATCTATCTAAGACTCATAAAATACAAGTTCCTAGTCTTTATTTGAATAAACATGAATATGAGTGCAATGGAGATGAAGTTGTGAAAGATGTCATATATGGATTAGGATCGAAGAAATATCGGTATCCTAAGGTAAAAAGTCTCTTTCTGATTGCTTGTATTGGAACCTTCAAAGTTCGTATCATCATACTTCTTGCATGTGACGAGATGGCAAAGGTGTGCTTGAAATGTAGAACAAAACTTCTCAACTCACCGTTTGTGATTTGCATTTTGAACACTGTTTATGTTCTATATCTTCTTTTTCTTGTTAAGGTTTCTATTTTTGACTCGGTTGTACAAGGCGCTGACTCGGTAGTGGAAAGAATACGGATTTACAAGGGAAAGATATTCAAGCTTGAGGAACATCTAAAACGGTATGAACATTCAAATCCGTAAACATCTGCTGATCAATCACTAAGGCCTCTCTCTTTCTCTAGAAAAGTTAACACCACGTTTGCAGGTTCAAGTGCATAGTCCTGGATGGAGATGGGGTGATCACTCCCAATGAAGAGCGGCTGCATTGCATATTTGAAGATATCCTATGTAAAATATTCGACATGATTAAACCAGAAACAAGAGTTCTTTCAAATCATAACATGGTCTTTTCATTTTACTGGCTATTCTGTATTTTCTTTCTTATTCGAAACATCAATTTGTTAAATGACTCTTTCAGAAGGAGAACTGCATCTCACTTCAGGATCTGAACTTTCTGGAAATGTTTTCAATATACTCTTCAATCTGAAAAAATTCATGGCGTTTGAAACTCGTGACCCTTTTCTCATTCGCCAAGTAAGTCTAGCTTTTCTATAGAGATTTTTTCCCTTTAGTTATTCAATACTTGGTTTGATAGCTGTTGCAACTATTACTACTGAATATCTATTTGGTTGTAGCGTGAGCTGAAATTCATTTGACAACAAGAAGGAGTACTTTGACATGAGTCACTTGGTTAATGCATCCAAATAAGTTCCTTGAACCCTTTTTACTCAATTAGTTTGTGTTCTTTTCACTTTTATCACGTGTCTGATTTTCATTATTGTTTCTTTTAATGGGGTTTCTATTATGATCCAGGAACTCTCACAACCGTTTTGTCTTATATTACAGGTGATAGGTTTTATTGTTTCGTCACTCTAACCAAGAAATCCGTTGACTAGTGACCTGGTCAAAAAACAGAGGATTCAGGTGTGCTAATACATACTAACCAAGAACCCTGAAATACCAAACCAGTAATCAAAGTTTCTAAAATATGCATCTATCTAAGACTGTAAATTTACTCCATATATACTCAGATTTCTCACAAGATTCAGCCATTCGGAGTCTCCACATGTTGAATCGAAGACTGTAACTCCTCATTTTTCTCCTTGTTCTACGGTGTTTCAAACTGGCGGGAATGCTAGTTCTTCCGGGACAAGTGAGACGATTAAGAAGTATCGTCGGAGACCAAGTCAGCACAAGAGAAAAGCGCAGGCTGCAAAAGAGACTAAGGATGCCCTGAAAGTGGAGTTAGTTTACAGAGAAAAAGCAAGACAAGAGGGAGGAGAAGGTGTGTCTTTGAAGAGAAAAGCGGAGGAGAATGGTTTGTCATCACCAAAGATTGCTAGGCGGTCTGAAAATGATTTAGCGGTGGTTCCGTATGAGGAACCGCCGAAGCAAGTATGAGCATACTCAGCTGGAATTGTCAGGGATTGAGGAGCTCGCTGACAATTCCTATTTTAAAGGAAATGAGACGTGTTCATTTCCCGGATATTTTGTTTCTCCTGGAGACGAAAAACTCCAGTAATCACGTGTTGGATGTTAAAAAATGGTTAGGTTATGATTCTTCTCATATAGTTGATCCTGAAGGTTTGAGTGGAGGATTAGCTATATTCTGGAAAGCTTCTTATGATGTTGAAATTCTTCACTCAGATAAGAGAATTATCGACACAAAAATCAAGTTTGGGTCCTTATGGTTTTATGTTTCTTTTATTTATGGAGATCCAGCTTATAATTTAAGACAAGATGTTTGGGATAAGTTAACAAGTATTGGTCTAACAAGGAATGAACCATGGTTTGTCGTTGGTGATTTAAATGAGATCTGGGACAATTCTGAAAAGCTTGGTGGTCCTGCCCGTGATGAATCTTCTTTTTTACCTTTCCGCAATATGGTTCGGGATTGTCGTCTCCGTGACATCTCATTCACGGGTAACAAGTTTTCTTGGGCAGGTAAACGCAATGATATGTGGATCCAAATCAGATTAGATAGAGCTCTTGGCAATTCTGAATGGTTTCATCTTTTTCCGAGAGTTCAAGCTGAATATCTAGAGCGGGTGGGTTCGGATCACAGGCCCTTACTGACCAGGTTCGTCAATGAGAATCAAACATTTAGAGGTCGCTTCATGTTTGATAAACGGTGGACTGCAAAACCGGAAACTTTGGAGATTATTAGACACGGTTGGAACAGTGAAGGAATGGATGGTAACACGAGTCTCTTTGATCGAATCGCAGCATGTCGGAAGTCTTTATCTCTTTGGAAACGTGGTTCTCAATCCAATTCTAAGACAAGAATTAAACAGTTGCGTGAACAACTTGAGGAAGAAGGTTGTAAACAATTTCCACGATTTGTTCTTCTTCAACAATGGAAAGGTGAATTGGCTGCGGCGTATCGAGAAGAAGAGATTTATTGGAAGCAACGTAGTCATGAAAATTGGCTTAACGATGGAGATCGCAATACCAAATACTTTCATGGGAGTGTTCAAGGGAGACGAGCTCAGAACAAGATTTTTTCTTTAATTGATGATAATGGTGTGGAACAGTTTGCAGATGGTTCTAAAGGTAATATAGCGGTGGACTACTTTCAAAAGCTTTTTACCTCCTCGCAGCCATGTGATGCAACCTCTTTACTTGATGGTATGTCCCCTCGAGTCACTCCTTGTATGAATGCTGCCTTAACTAAACCCGTCACCAATGAGGAAATTAGACAAGCGGTTTTTGCTATCGGAAGTTGTAGTGCTCCTGGTGCGGATGGCATGACAGGATTATTTTTTCAGTCTTATTGGAGTGTTGTTGGTCAGCAAGTTTGTGAGGAAGTGAAAAAATTCTTTGAATCTGGTTTATTACCGAGTGAATGGAATTTCACACAAATTTGTCTCCTTCCTAAAAAACAAAATCCTAACAGAATGACTGATCTACGTCCGATTAGCTTGTGTTCCGTTTCGTATAAAATCATCTCTAAGATTTTATGCTCAAGGTTGAAGGTATGGCTGCCAGAGATTGTTTCCGATGCGCAAGGAGCCTTTGTCTCAGGTCGTTTAATCTCAGACAATGTTCTGTTGGCTCATGAGATGGTTCACGCATTACGCACTAATCCGGACTGTAATGAGGATTTTATGGCTATCAAAACCGACATGTCCAAGGCGTACGATCGCGTTGAATGGAATTTTTTGGAGGAGCTTTTTATTAGACTTGGTTTTGATAGGAAATGGGTAGATTGGCTCATGGTTTGTGTGAGAAGTGTTACGTACTCAGTCTTGTTGAATGGGAATTCCTATGGTTTTATCAAACCGGAGCGTGGAATAAGACAAGGTGACCCGCTTTCGCCTTTTATCTTTATTTTGTGTGCTGAGGCACTTGTCCATACCATGAAAAAGGCTGAAGTTGAAGGACGTATCACTGGTATTCGTTTAACTAGGAACTGCCCGTCCATTCAACACTTGTTGTTCGCTGACGATAGTCTCTTTCTTTGTCGGGCTACTTTTAAAGAAGGGGCTGAAATTCTCAAGTGTTTGAAACTCTATGGTGATGCTTCCGGTCAAGAAATAAATCTTCAGAAATCGTCAATTATTTATGGCACCAAGATGGAGCCGATTATGAGACATTTGCTGGGACTGTTTCTTGGAATTTTCAAGGAAGGTGGTGATGGTATGTATCTAGGTCTTCCGGAATGTTTTAGTGGTTCTAAATGTGACTTATTATCATACATTACAAAGAAGCTCAAAACTCGGCTGACTGGTTGGTTTGCAAAGACGTTGTCGTTAGGAGGGAAGGAAGTCCTTCTTAAATCTGTTGCCATGGCCTTACCAGTGTACGCCATGTCTTGTTTTAAATTAACAAAATATCAATGCCAACAGATTACGAGTGCAATGACAAGCTTTTGGTGGAACTCATGTGAAGAACATAAGAAGATGCATTGGGTGTCTTGGGAAAAGATGTGTAAAACAAGGAAAGAAGGTGGTTTAGGTTTTCGAGCTGTTGGTGATTTTAATCAAGCTTTACTCGCAAAACAGGCCTGGAGACTTCTTACAAAACCAAACTCTTTGTTGGCGCGGGTATATAAAGCACGTTATTATCACCGTAAGGATTTTATGGATGCTGTTGTTGGGGCTCGACCGTCTTATGCGTGGCGCAGCATTATCCATGGTAGGGCTCTGCTTGGAAAAGGCCTCATAAAAACCATCGGGAATGGTCAAACTACTAGTGTGTGGATTGACAAATGGATCTTTGATAGCGTCCCGCGTCGTCCTTTCAACAAACAGTCTCTTTTTGATTTAGATTTGCGGGTTTCAAACCTTATTACCCCCCAAGGCTCTTGGAACCACAATCTATTATCGGAACTGTTTTTTCCACCGGATGTTGTCAGAATGATGTCTTATCCTCCAAATGTGGCTGCAGCAGATAGCTATGTATGGGCTTATAACCGGTCTGGGTGTTACACGGTCAAGAGTGGTAATTGGTTATTGTCTCATTTACAAACTGATCCTACACCTTTATCTGCTCATGACAAGGAGACTCGTATACTTAAAGAGAAGATTTGGGCGATTAAGACTATTCCTAAGATCAAAATGTTTTTATGGAGAGCTTTATCTGGTGCTTTAGCAGTCTCGGTTTGTCTTCAGGCTCATGGTATGAATTCTGCTCTTCAATGTTCTCTTTGTCAAAATGATTTGGAATCCATCAACCATGTTCTTTTTAATTGTTGGCCGGCGCGAGAAGTTTGGGAGATTGCCAACATTCCCTTACCTTCTCACGGGTTTACAGATTCAACTAATGACAATCTAGCATTTTTGTTGAAAGTTATGAGCAATGATAGTGTTTCACTCTCTATACGTATGGCGATTCCGTGGATCTTGTGGGGAATCTGGAAGCACCGCAATGAAGTTTTATATGCTGGAAAACAAGGTGATTTGAATGCATTGGTAGTTCATGCAATAGAAGAAGCGGAACTGTGGAATAAGTTAAAGGAGACACAACCGCAGCCTCCTCTTGGTACTGGTTTGAATGCTCGCCGTGAGACCAGATGGGTTAAACCTCCCATTAACTTTCTTAAGTGTAATCTTCATGTCTCTTGGTTAAATGAGTCTCATATGTGTGGTGGAGCTTGGATGGTAAGGAATCACCAAGGAGATGCAGTTTTCCATGCGCGAGAAATGTTTCTACCCGCTTCAAATCGTATCGCTGCGGAATTAAGAGGGATCCTTTGGGTTCTACATAGTCTTTCTGACTTGCATTTGGATAACATTGAGATATGGTCTGATTGTCATGCTGCAATTGACGCCATTATTGACCCATCAAATTGGCCAAGGTATCACTCCTTCCTTGACAAGATACATCGGCTAATATCAAGCTTTGGTAAAATTGTGTTTAAGGTGTCTTCTACAAAAGCTAATGCGATCGCAAGAGCTATTGCTGCGAGTGTCACCAGTGATGGACGGGGCCAATCTTATTTAGCTAGTGGCGGTCCGGCTTGGCTATTTTCACGTATTGAAGAGGAGAAGAGGAGATGACATAGTCTGGAAGTCTTTTATAATCATTTATACTCTGTTTTGTGGAGTTCTGTTTCTTATGTTGGCATGTTCTGTTTTTGACTTTGAATACGTTTCTTATTTTTAATAAAACATATTAGACGGCAAAAAAAAAAAAGAAAGGTAATAATGATGCCTTTCCTTTGTAATATACAACATTACATTCCTGAAACGTTTGTTTACAATTTACCCTTCTGCTGCAGGATCAGTCTGGCAGTGGGAACCAAGGACCAAGGCAAAGGGCTGCTGCTTTAGCTGCCTTGCCTTATGCATTTAATTCTTCTTCTGCTCTCCGGTAAATAGTATAAGCTCATTTTTTATGTTTCTACTAGATTCTTTCTAGTACATATATGAAGATATTGACATATCATGTGAATTTCCATGAAGAAAAAAGGCTATGGTTCACATGTTCAATATAACAGGGGTTAAGAACTCGTTGTGCTTACTACTTTTCATCTTAGGCACAAAACGTAAATCTTAATTTTCATCCTCTTGTTTCTGTTGATGACTGAAGAGATAAGACTGGTGGTTAACGTTGACTGTTTCAGAATGAGAGAGAAGCAAAGTAAAGTTCAAAGAGTGCACAAAGAAATGAGGTCCAATGTTTCTCTCTCTATGTACTTTTTATTTTTACGGTTGTTTGATGCTACACTGACATGAGATGATCGTATAAGTTTGAAACTACAATATATATCTATTTACAACAATGATGATATCAATTTTGTTCTGGCAGCAAGATGGTGTTGGTACATTAACATTGCTCAAAACTGGGGTTCCAGCAATAGCCAACAGATGATCCTTTTGAATAATGTTTGTGGTTACAGGTTTGTCATTTTTATTTGGATAACTCCAATGTTGCATCTAAATTGTTATTCTTTTGTTGTAGAAAGAAAGAAGCTAGTGCGTATAGTGTTAAGGATCTTGCTTCAAATAAATCTTTCTATGTGCAATCACCTTGCCAGATTTTGCTCTACATATTGGCCATCTCTCTAGTGAAGCTGGAAATTTTTTTTTTGTTTGGGTGTGCTATTGGTCTTAGCACTGCCTCAAAGAGACGTGCATAGTTTTTTTTCATGTTCTTGGTAAATGTAAGTCAGGGTATATATATACGAATCAGTTTTCGAACAGGTTTGAGAAGGAGAGAGTAAATAATATATGGTCGGAATCAATATTGTGATTTGATAGCATGTAGGGTGCGCTAGTAATTGTTTTGGTATCATGTTACATTTGCTAACAATCTTGTAGTAATTCTTTCACTATTTTTTAAGCGACTGTCTTTGGATCAGTTTCTTTGTTTGATATCTAAGCTGCTTTAATTGGTTAATTTATGTGTTACATCTCTTGGTTATGGGTTATCGATGATTCTAGATACGTATAGATTTTGATGTTCCAAGATATGGATTTTCAGGTTCCTTCTGTTCTTCAGAGAGATAATGTTATGTTGAATTTTTTTTTGTGATTAGTTGGCCAAAGTGATTGTATAGATCAGTTTTTTTCCGGCTCTCGATGATGTGGGTTCACTTCTTTGTGTTAGGTTCTCTTTATTATAGAGAGTTCATGTTTTCGCTCTTGCTTTAGGTCGCTTAGGAGAATGAGTTTGTGTTAGGTGTTTCCTGAACTCTCTTTGGTTGTTTATGTTCTTTGACTAAACGTTTTCTTAGAATATAAATCATAGTCACATATTCTTGTTGGAGGCTTCTCTTTTTATTTAAATTACTTTTTATTATTATAATTGTTTTGGTAACAGTTATTTGTTCCTCTTTGCATATTGACTTGTTATTGTTGGATTCTCTCTTGTATGCTCATGTGTTCCATTCAGACTTATTTCGCTTTGCCATTATCTATTTAAAATTCTGGTTCTGGAAAACTTAGGGGACTAGTCCTGAAAGGCAGAGAGTGTGTTGCTTTGTTTCTTCCCTTCGCTTGTGGATTGAAGAGATGGAGATGTTACGAGACTAGTCCTGGTAAAAGTGCTCCTAGATTTGAATTCTGTGTTACTTAATGTTCAATAATTAGTTGCCTACCTTCAATTTTGTTTTTCAGGAGTTGGAAGCATAACTTCATTGTTGTGACAGATCATCGCTCTCATCTTTTTCACTAATTACCAAAGTTTGTTGTGTGTTTTAGTTCTCTCTTGCTATTCTTAATTTTATGCTATTTGATGTTTGGCTTTTCCAATTACTAACCGTAATTTCAATTTTGACCTTTTTAGGAGTTGCAAACATTATGGAAGAAAGAGGAGTCGAAGAAAACTTCCTCTGTTTTTCATTTGATGGTCCTGAGGTTCTCTATTGACTTTTTGGTACCTTATTGGTGACTCAACAGATAGTATGTATCTAAACAATCTCTTTCTGTGAAAATTTTTCAGATATAAGCTTGTTATCTCTGTATCAGAGTAGGAAAATTGCATCTCATACCATCAAAAACATTCAGGTAATGCATTGTATTTAATTTCATTCTCTGCGATGTATCATTTTTGCTTTCATTATCTCTATAGGAACAGTCTAAGCTCTTCCATTTTCCAGCAACAATGACTTTGGTGTACACTTCCCTCAAGTTAAATATTATTACTTATCCTAATTTTGATCTGCCCGCTCCTTGTTAGTCACTCATTGGATCTGGATATGTGCCCACTTTCTTTATCTCTCTTGTGCTAGTTTATTTTCGATGTGAGACATACAGAAAGCCTGATTGGATTTGGTTTGTGTGTAAGGATGGCTTCCAGGATCGAGAGCAGATGGAGATTCCAAACAACTTCCAACAATTGCTGTAGTTGCATCCTCTGATACTTTCGCAGCTGCTCCGATATATGTAATATGAGTAGTGGATCATCTTACTATTCTTGTCGCAATTGCTTACTTTCTTTGACTATTCTGTGGTAGTATCAAGTATGTACCTGACTAACTTGTGTTTGTAGGCATTATTAGTTGGAAGTGACAGCAATGAAAGTGGGATTGTGTCGCTTATTGAAGTGGCTAGACTACTTTCCATTATTTACTCAAATCCCAAGACAAGAGGAAGATGTAATTTACTTTTTATACAAACATCTGGTGGACCCTACAACTATGAAGGAACTCAAAAGGTAACGAGACCTTACTATCTTCATATAATAAAACCATATCCTTCCTGCAATAATTGTTTGGTGCATTTGCAAACTTGTTGGTATTCTTCATTAAGCATTATATCTTCTGCAGTGGGTGTAGAGCTTTGATCAGAGGAAGTGTGATAGCATTGATTATGCCATTTGTTTGAACAGTGTTGGTTCTTGGGACAATGAACTATTGATCCAGCATTAAAATTGTTATCTCCAGTAAGTGGGCAATGCCTTTACGTTTTCATGAGCTAATTCTTTATAATTATTTACCCTTTGCTGGTTGAACCAAAGCACCTACATTGTGCTTAGTTCATTGATTTTTGTTTTTTTCACTTCCTTTTTTTATCTTCCCATGCGGGGGTTATTTGAGATGTTTGACTATACTATGTTCTCCTTCCGTCGATTGTTTTCGCTGTTCATTACAATAGACCCTTTCTGAATGAATTTGTGCTGCTGAATTCTTGTAGATTGATTGGGAGCATGAACAGTTTTCAAGACTCAGAGAAACTACTGCCACTTTATCCGAACTTTCAACTCCACCCGAGTTACTCGAAAAACAAATTGCCTTTGAGATTGGCCAAGTAATATGCATCATCAATCAACTAGTTAATGTGATTGTGTTAGACTTTCTGGAAGCATTTAAACTTTCTGAAAATGTTTTCAGATATACTCTGCAACCTGAACAAATTCATGGCGTTTGAAACTGTTGACCCTTTTCTCATTCGCCAGGTAAGTTTAGTTTTTCTATAGAGTTTCCCTTTCTTTGGTTATTCAATACTTGGTTTAATAGTTATTGAAACTAATTACTACTGAATACTTATTTGGTTGCAACATGAGTTGAAATTCATTTGACAATAGGAAGGAGACTTTGACATGAGTCACGTGGTTCAAATAAGTTCCTTGAACCCTTTTTACTGAATTAGTTTGTGTTCTATTTACCTTTATCACGGTCTCTGATGTTCATTATTGTTTTTTTTAACAGGTGTTCTTTATACCTGATTGATCGATACTTCTTTATGCTGTGTCTTGGAGTTGGCCGAATCAATATTCTTTATACCTGATTGATCTCTCTTGTATGTTCTGGTGTTCCGTTCATGCTTATTTCGCTTTGCCATTATCCGTTTGGTGATCTCTGGTTAAATCTTTGTAGGATCGAAGTTCTGCAAAACTTTGGTGACTCATGAAAGGTAGAGAGTGTATTTCTTCTTTTTTCCCTTCGTTTGCGTATTGAAGAGGAATAGATGTTACGAGACTAGTCCTGGTAAAAGTGCTCTTAGATTTTAATTCAGTTACTTAATGTTCAATAATTACTAGCGTATCTTCAAAAACAAATTCAGGTGTTGGAAGCATTATGGGAGATGAGGAGACGAGAGATTTAAGTTTTTTTCTACTATTTGATTTCTTATTGCATTGGTTTATCTTTATTGACTTGTTGAAATTATTTCTTCTGCAGATACAGGGGATATCACGTTTTGGTCTCTTTCTTTTAATGGTCCGTGGGTTTCGTCTCCTTTTTTTAATACCTATATTACTTACTTCATTTTTTAGAGCTTTTCAAAATAAGAAACATTTTCAGCCTCTATGTAGGTCTTTGTGATGATTTGGAGATTCCATTTCAAGCGTCTATGCTTAAGTAATGTCCTCTCCTATCATAATCTTAAGATTTGATAGATATTAAAACATTAATTTTCACTATGGTTTGTTGTGTTTTCTTTAAGATGGGAAGCTGGTCCTACACCAGAAGATGGAGTATGGGCACCATGGTGGTAAAAGAAGCAATCTTCAGAACTCTCATAACATATAGCTTAACCATATGAAAATGTTTAAGTCTTTGAACATAACAATCTCCTCTTCTTTGGTTACAGCTTGTGAAAATCGATGGGCGTGTGATTGGTGACGGAAAAGTTGGACCGGTAACGACAACATTGCAAAACGCCTACAAGAAACTGACAGAGGATTCAGGTGTGCTAATACCTACTTACCAAGAACCCTGAAATACAAAACCAGAGGTAATCAAAGTTGCTAAAATATGCATCTATCTAAGACTCAGAAAATACAATTTCCTAGTCTTTATTTGAATAAAGAAGTTTAATTTTCCGTCTTGTAATTTAAATAGGAGTGCAATGGAGATGAAGTTGTGAAAGATGTCATATATGGATTAGGATCGAAGAAATACCGGTATCGTAAGGTAAAAAGTCTCTTTCTGATTGCTTGTAGTGGAACCTTCAAAGTTCAATCATCAAAACTTCTTGCATGTGACGAGATGGCAAAGGTGTGCTTGAAATGTAGAACAAATTAACCTGGCCTTGTGGCCTAGTGGTAAAGGGATCACAGCTGTGACTTCCGCCACCAGGGTTCGAGCCCCCGCCACTGCGGTATTCACATGCGGGCTGCAGCGTCCAGGAGCCGACACGTGGAGTGCCATTTGGCCAACCACGTGGCTAGTCTGATGCGAACCGATAGTCTAACACGTGGACCCCTGCTCTGTCGGGTATCCGATAGCTAACACGTGGACCCCTGCCCTGTCGGGAAGCGTTGGGATACCTGGGTTATCAAAAAAAAAAATGTAGAACAAAACTTCTCAACTCACCGTTTGTGATTTGAATTTTGAATACTGTTTATGTTCTATATCTTCTTTTTCTTGTTAAGGTTTCTGTTTTTGACTCGGTTGTACAAGGCGGTGACTCGGTATGGGAAAGAATTCAGATTTACAAGGGAAAGATATGCTGATCAATCACTAACGCCTCTCTCTTTCTCTAGAAAAAGTTACCATTGGTTTTTTTTTTTTTCAGGTATGGACAACATGAACTATGGGAGAATTTCCCCTGATATGGTGGCTTCTCTCATTTGGATTCTACTTGTTTTCTTTTTTATATGGGAACTTTACTCAGGTGTATAACATTTTATATGAAATTACCAGATACATACAGATCTTTTTATTATTACTATCATATTTCGGGTATATTTTTTATACCCAGCGTGCCCCTGCTAAACGTTACAGGAAAAAACGTAATTACAAAGAATGCCACTGCCATGTCAGCAAAGCCGCGTCGCCACGTCAGAAATCGCTGACGTGTATTAATGAACTCAGCCGTAAAGCGATACAGCGGCAGTGACGGCTGAGTTACGGTTAGTAGCGGCTGATTTATGGAAAATGACTGAGTTATGAGCAAACGGCTGACTTACGAGTATAACTCAGACATTAGTTACGGCTGAGTTAATAAAGTCGGTCTGAGTTATGAGAAAATGGCTGACTTTCGAGAATAACCCAGCCTAAGTTACGGCTGAGATTTCACCCGTTGGTTGATTTGTCAAAATTTTGGCTGAGTTATTTCTTCGACACGGCCGAGTTAACGTTTTCCGGTTGGCTGGGTTATCAAAGACGGCCTAGTTATGTGATGTCGTTACGGCTGATTTAGCCTCTAGTGTCATAAATCAGCCGTAATGAGCTGAGTTAATGGAAAACTCGGCCCAATTACGGCTGACTTAGTAGCGAAAGATTAATTACTAGAATAGCTTGCAATTACGGCCGACTTATCAAACGATACGGCTGAGTTAAATATTTTCGGTTGAGTTACGACATTAAACGGCTGAATTTGGCTGCATTTTTTTCGATTTTTAATTACTGTAATAGTATGCATGTTGCGACTGAGTTAAAGTTTTGTTTGATGGCTGGTTTAATTCGGTTGATTAACATTTTCGTTTGGTGGCTTACTTGCCACTTCATCAATTAAAAAAATGACGTGGCATGCAACATTCCATGTCATCATTCCATGTCATCATCATCAAGGGAAATACGAAAGGTCTTTTCTACTACTCATCTTCTTCTTATTCATTGTGTCGATCTTCACCTGTGTTTTTTCACATCTCTGGAACTTAAATTTCACTCGACTCGTCATCGTCTTACTTCTTCATTTTCGTTCTTCCTTACCCCGATATGACTGATCCGATTCCGGTAATTGTTGTTTCCGGTAATTGGGTAAAGAAACACAAATTCGTATTTAACACCGACGATAAAGGGTGTAGAGTTGTGCAGATAGATGAGGAAACAACGCACGACAAGCTTGTGAAGTTGGTGCTCGATGACTACGGATTGAATGAGTTGAGCCATCAGTTAAAGCTGAGCTACATGTTCTCGAAGAAGGCTATGAAAAATATGTCGCTTGATACT